GATCTGATGAAATGGTCCGGCTATGGAAGTCCATTGCCAGGTTAGTTTACCGGCTGTCGCGCCAAAACATGCCAAAACTTTGGATGTCAAGGACAGACTACCTTTGGAACAGACTGCGACGGGTGTGGGTTCCCTAGGATTCGCCCCGGTTCAACCTATGTGTAATCTGGGCTGAAATGGGCTCAAAGTTTCATGAAGGTTCGGGGAGCAAATGACCAACTTTTGGAGTCTTCCGCGGGAACCGAGTGCCATTCATACATATTACTGTAAGTCATCTTCAGAAATATTAGGCTGTAGGTTCTACACGCAACCTTCGACAGGCTTGGGCAGTTCCTTTGAAGTCCTCCCCCCCTAGTGGAAAATGCTTACACCCTGGAAATTGAACCAGGGAAAGTCAAAAACGACAAAGATAATTCGGAAATTCATCTTCCACGTCCCCATCTTTGTGGGGGCCCATGTTACTTTCCAAATCATTCCAAATGCCTGAGCCTGCTCAGCCTTAGTATTCCAGCTTGCTTTTGGCTCAATTGTAGTACCATATACTCAAACAATCTCAAACATACTCAAACAGTATATTCTTCGCATTCTTGGTTGTGAACCCCAGTAAGTGAGTAGCTCATACCCTGTAATCCCTGCCCCCCATATTGAACACAGTCTTGAAACCCCAGTTTGATATCGGATCCATCAATTTTGGGGGGCCCAAGTCGGAATGATGTTACAGTATGTTACACTATATTTCACTATATTTCACTATGTTACACTTGCCAGTACCAGTAGGGTATGGCGCTGCCAGAACCCACAATATGCCAATATCATCAATATCATCCAATACAGGGAAGCGACAATGTCACGCCTAAGTCATGGCTAGCATGTTTTTGAATGGCATTTACCATTGTAAACGCTGTATCGAAGAAGTCATGCCTAAGTCCACAACCTGGAATTCTGCATGCTAATAGTGATCAGCTACGTGATCTCATAAGAAAACGGGTTACATATCCAAACTCCAGAGTTCCATAGAGTTCCTATGCGTTCTTTCTAAAGGCACGACTTTTGCGAAACACACTTCCCCAAGGCACAACGATTTTTTCCTAAAACAGGTACGACTTTGTCAGATGCCTGTATCCATCCATTGATTAACAAAAAAACAAAAAACAGAAGATTTGGTCAACGGGGGCTGACCTGACATCCCTGACCTTTCTCCAAGCTGCTTCGGTGGATCTCCTCCACCGCGGGCGGCAACGGTTCCAGCGGCGCGCCCGCTGCAGCCTCAACTGCCACACCCGCAGCCACTTCGTCCGGAGAGGCGTCGCCAGTGATGGTGATGGCCGCACCAGGGCCAACTCCTGGAACGATCCACAGCAACTGGGACTTGTTATAGGAAAAATGATGGGAAAATGATGGAAAAATGCGGGTTTTGATTTAGACCGAGAAACTCTAGAGTGACCTTCTCTGCAAGTTTACATCTGAATTGCATGAGTGTTGCATGAAGCTACCATCTAGTTGCAAAGATGATCAAAGATGATCGAAGTGCATCATATCGCCAGTTTGGGGCCACAAATGTGGGTTGTCAATTTTGGGGTTGGATACGTTTGACGCTTTTGAGCTGAGCCATGCCCACATCAGGAAGATACTAATAGATACTAGCTCGTTCAGAGATCTGTTCCCGGCTCAACGCTGTGAATCCCACGCTAAGCGGCTGCTGAACTCCCTATGTTTGGTGCTGAAATCCTGAGTCCGCCTTCTGAGATTCTTGTTTGCGGGTCCTGAAGTACAACTCTTGGCTCCACTGGTGGCCTGAACACGTCACGTGGAATGGCCAGGGGTGGACATTACTCCAGGGAAAACCTCGGTGGGTTGAGAGAAGGTTCAAAATAGGATACTGAAGTGATAGAACTGGGTGGCGTTCTACTGGAATGAGCATAGTCTGTGGCCTCAAATTAGCGACCGTGACCTTTGCCAGGACAATTTTGCAACGATTCAGCATCCCACGCTGAAACGACGCGAGAACCCGCAAATGCGATCAAATTCAGGGGCTTTGAACACCAAATCAGAAATGGTCTAAAATGGTCTAAATACCTTCATTTCACCAGGAACCGCAGTGCATGGCCATGCATGGCCTTTGGATCAGGTTGGTCCATCAGCGTTGCTGATTTGCCCATGAGCCAGCACCTCAGCATGGGTCAAAGGCCCGCAGAACGGGCGAAAACATGACGAAAACTATTGGTATTTGTGGCCATTGTGGGCATAGCGTAAGTACAGCATGCTACAGCATTATACAGCATTCTAACTGGCATGGTATCATATGGTTGTTGCTGATTCTTCAAAAAATGTATTGTACATATCCATGTGCTAGATGGTGCCAGTAGGTACCAGCCTCTTTCGATCCTTGATCGATCTACATCATTGATCATTGGTTTTTTGGCCCCCCAATTGAGGTGTGAGTACCATGGACATGAGCACCGGGGTCGGCAGAATCATCAACACATATCAACACCATTCTTCCATTACAATTCGATACAAGTCGGGAGTCCAATCAACGGAGAAATAAATCCCTTAAAACTTAGAAATCTTAGAAATCCTGGAAACTTGCCCTTTAACCCGGGACGGACATCACTGGAATGGTACCGGACTGCTGGTGATTCATTCACAATGGGGGTGCGTGTCTTCAATGAACAATTTGCAGAAACGTTCGTTTCATCACCAGGGATTGCATCATCAAGCATCAAAACATCTACATACATTATGTATCATGATGTAATGATGTATCTTTGTGACAAAAAAAACATGTCCTCAACTTGCGGGACATCAAGAAATTGCACCTCATCCAGGCCCAAACCCAATGCCATCGCCATGCCACATGTGCGAGTTGTTGTAGTGCGTGAAGAACTCGCCTGGTGCCACGTGATGTCACTCCGCTGGGGCTGTGAGTAACCCAGGGAATCCACACGTCAAGCCGGTGGTGAGGCAACATAGACCGACAAACGGGCGAAGCATGGGAGAAACAGTTTTGAACCGTGCCATATCGTACCATACTTATACCCGAACTTGTACCCTGGGCAAAAGAGCCTGTCCAAAGTGACAAACTGGCAATAACTAGAGAAGTTGTTGTGTGCATAGTCCTATGCGCATATATCATATTTATCATATTTTATCATTATGTATTTATTATTTGCCAACAAACTGGTAGTTTCGGTAGTAGCATCTCCTTTCAAAATGGACCAACTGGGATCAACTGAGCGAGTGTTTTCAGGAGAGAAGCATTTTGGCAATGACTGCGAAAGTAGTCTGCCTCTACTGCACCGTAGCCTACCGCATCCATAATACGAGTATATGATATAGTATCTGACAATAATGTACCTGATAAAATTACATAAACATCCTCCGTGGCATTTGGTCTCTACATGTGCCAAGCTAGGAAAATCTGGACCAGTAAGAAGTTTGGACAAATAAATTGTTGGGTCATCCAACTGAGAAACATGGTTTTCAGTTTCTGAAATCTACATGATTCTACATGGCTATGTGGATCATTGTGGATCAAAATCTGGATGAAAATCCAAGTAACTAAGTAATGTTTTTCCCATGTTTTTTCCTGGGAATTCTCTTCATCCCGTGTTGGGGACTCCGAATTCGGACGCTCGAAATACCAATCGTCTCCATCGTTTCGTCTACCCAACAGGGCAGCTGAGACACAGGTTGGTTCAAGCTGACACGCCTCGCAGGGAGGGGTCGCAGTGCTGATGCATAAGTCATGTTGCCATGATTTCTCTCCACCATTTCGGTGGTTGGTCACAGCAAAGGTAGATAGAATATCAAAGAATATCATGTTTATGATTTATGATTCTTATTTGATTTTTTCATAATCACCGAATTGCTCGTTGGCTGAGTCTCCCAAAACTACCCGTTTAGGGGTCTTGATAGATTTACCCAGCCCTCCGCTCCGATTAGGGCATGGGTCACTGGGTCACATGGTCAAATGATCAATAAAACAAACCTTTGCCGCCTCGCAGACAGCAGATCTAAGATTATCTGAAATTTATACCCATCTATCCAACCTGCCCAGTTCTATAAGTTTGTATCAATTACATTCAATGATACTATCCCGGTTTTGATGGTTTTAACCTGCTTTAACAATCTTTAACACCACATTTCTAAGTGTCACCAACCTGTGTTGCGCTGCCTTTGCCCTTGGCTTGGCAAACCTTCTCCCCCCGATCTCCTTCTGGCAACTTGTGGCATCCAGCTCACGACCACTGGGTGATGTCACTTTCATGTCCTCAGATGGAATGGCCACATATGGCCACAGGTCGAAACCCTGGGAGGGCGATCAGCAAGGCTGGATCTTCATCCCGCGAACAGCAACGGGGTATGGCGTCATAGGCATTGACTTATCCCCACCAGGTCCAGCCACGACAATGGCCAGAAAATGTGGAAGAACCGATTTTTTTTTAAAGAAAACTGATACCTTCATACTGCTGGGGCAACTGCTGATGAACATGATGATTATTATGATTATGATGATGATGATGATGATCATGATGATGATCATGAAGATGATGATCATGAAGATGATGATCATGAAGATGATGATCATGATGATCATGAAGATGATGATCATGACGATGATGATCATGACGATGATGATCATGAAGATGATGATCATGATGATGATGATCAGGAAGATGATGATCATGAAGATGATGATCATGAAAATGATCATGAAGATGATGATGAAGATGATGATCATGAAGAAGAAGATGAAGAAGATGATGATGATGATGATGATGATAATGATGACGATGATGATGATGATGATGATGATGATGAGGATGAGGATGAGGATGAGGAGGATGAGGATGATGAGGAGGATGATGAGGATGACGAGGATGATGATGAGGATGAGGATGATGAGGATGATGAGGATGATGCGGATGATGAGGATGATGCGGATGATGAGGTGGATGAAGTGAGACTGATGCGGATGGTGCTGATCATGGTGCTGGTCATCCTGATGATGGCTGTCGGCAAACAGGATGGGCCAATCGCGCCGGGCATCGGTGTAGCCACGGCCGTCGAATGCACATGGCGGTGCTCGGGCAGCTCCTGTCCAAGATGTCCAAAAAGTCGCGTCAGGAGGCTGAAGGTCTCTTCCAATGTTAGGGGGTAACATACGAAAACCACAGGACGATCTAAAACCGGGCCAAATTCAGCGATCAAGCTGTCCGATTTGGTGATCTCTGATTTTGAGTCATGCCAATCGATACCATGTCACTCAGTCCACTTTCACTTCCACCCTCCCACAGCCTTGGACTGACACCATTGACAGCACCAGAAAAGCAAACATGACTGGGAGCGAATCGCGGACGGATTTCGGATGTTTTGACTTGAAGACCAAAAACAGCTGCAGCCCACGCCGGTTTTCATGATTAAACCATGTCCGGCCTGGTCCCCGAGGCAGAAGGGTACTGGTCAAAATTGTCCACCACTGAGTGCAGGATCAGGGATTCTAGCAATCACCACTAAGCTTCCCGGTATCCAATTTTGCGTGATCGGATCGAGCTGGGTTACGTCATGTTACGTTCCCATTTTCGTCATGGTCAGAACTTCAATTTTATCTACAGCGCGCAGTGGCTCTGCACCACGAATTGGCGTTTAAAAATGAGGTAGTGTCAGGCAGCTAGCCATGGCCTCAAAGCAACTGGGGCACTGGGCGGCCGGAAGCATTCCAGGGTGACCGTCCCGATCGTCCCATGGGAAATAGGCTTACAATTATTTGCAATTTGTGACCCATGGGCGTTGTACAATATGTATTTGATTGTAACGCAATACACGGCAACGCAACGCAATGCAACCCAGTGCAATGGAATCAATGGAACAACATGGAAATGTAATGTACTGTACTGCACTGTACTGTAACGTAACGTAATGCAATGTGTATCTGAAGGTGATGTTACGGCCAAACACCTTGTCTTGCCCGCGCCTGTTGGCCCGCCTTCGTATAAGCTGAAAACGTGGTTATTTTATGTTATTTTAGCACTATGGTCTATGGTTAACTTGATGTTCTAGATAAGAACGCACAGCATAGGGACCTGCGCGGGTTCGTTCCACATCATCATCATCATCATCATCATCATCATCATCATCATCATCATCATCATCATCATCCTCATCATCCTCATCAACATCATCAACAACAACACAACAACAACATCCACATTATCTAAGATGGTCATCATGATCATCATGATCGTCAAGATCATCATGATGATCATCATGATCATCATAATCATCGTCATCATCATCATCATCATCATCAACATCAATAAATATCTTCAATGAATCTAGAAGTTTACTGGGGGTGGGAGAATTAAACCTTTATTGAAGATCTTCAATGAATGTAGAAGTTTACCGTGGGTGGGAGAATTTTAACACTTATTGAAGATCTTCAATGCATGTAGAAGTTTACGGGGGTGGAAGAATAAAACCCTTGTTGAAGATTTTCAATGACTGTAGAAGTTTACCGGGGGTGGGAGAATTTAACCCTTATTGAAGATGTTCAATGAATGTAAAGTTTAACGGGGGTGGGACTTTTATATTCCCTAATACCTTTGTTGATCTTCCCAAGACAAGAAGTGTGTGGGCGAAACGGGGTGTTTGCGCATAATGTTACCCAACGTTGCATAACATAGCCTGACATTACATAATGTAAGGTAATGTGCAATGCAACGCCTGCAACGCACTGCAACTCAGTGTAATGCAATATGCAATAAAATGCAATGCAGTGCAATGTAACTGTAATGTAATGCACTGATATCGAATGTAGGTAGTCGTAACGTAATGTACAGTAATGACCATGTAATGACCATGTAATGACCATGTAATGACCATTGTGCATCGGACCTCCACCTCCTGTGCCAAGCTCTGGGACTCTGCCAGAGCGAATGCCAGAAATGAAGAAACTATGTCACATATAGATACATATAATATTAGTAATTATTATATATATATACGTATGTATTATGTCACTAATTATGTCACGTACAATTTGCATCAATTATGTGCGTCATAGTTGGGATTGAGACATTCAAACTATCAAGGCCTTTTGCACTGGGAAATGAAATACATTGAAATACCATGTTCGACTAATTCCAGCAAATCGTAAACCTAGAGAGATGTGTGACTGCGTCGCCATTGAAAAATATGGTTTGGTGCGTTAACCACCCCCCGAGACATGGGCACCAGTAAGGTGAGGGATAATGTTCCCTTCACTTCACATTCACTAAAATATGTGTGACGTGAGGATCATCCTCCCTTTTTTTGATGTGGACACTCATTCACAAAATATCAGAAAACATCAGCAAGACACAAAGGTGAAATCCAGAGACTTTTTGTTGAGAGCCCCATGTTTTGAAAGCTTAAAGCCACTAGATGCCACTAGAATCACACGAATATGTTGCTGGAAAACACACTGTGAATCCCTTGGTCTCTTGGCGCCAAAAGGCCACTAACGACCGAGGCGCGGGGCAACACAGGTCATGACAGCCGCCAGTGCTATCAAAATCAAGATGTAGAAAGAAGATGAAAGAAGTATCCTGGCCACAGGATCTGGGGTATGGGGATCTATTGATGCGTGGAATGGGAATAGAATGGGGATGAATACTCGGTGTCAACCCAGGACATAGAGATATCGTGGGGACATCATGTCAATGGAAGATCCAACATGGGATGGATACTGGATGATATTGGCGATGATATTGGTCAGTTCATCCAGGTTCTGTCTGAACCAGGACAAACCATGGTTTAGAATTTTGGAACAGCATTTTCCCATATTTTCCCTATATTCCGCCCCACAGCCTTGCATTGACACCACTGACAGCACGAGAAAGGCCAAGCGTCATGTTTGCAGTCGAAGTCTATGTGCTTGGCGCAATTTCAGAGATCAAGCCGTCCGATTTGGTGATCAATGATTTTGAGTCATGCCGATCGATGCCATGTCACTCAGTCTACTTTCACTTCCACAGTCCACAGCCTTGCACTGACACAACTGACAGCACCGAAACGGCCACGCACGTAGTGCTTGGCCGTTGTGGCGCTGTCAGTGGTGTCAGTGCAAGGCTGCAAATCCCGGAAGGATTTCGAATTTCTTCACTTTTTGAACCAAAAACAGCTGCAGCCCGCGCCGGTTTTCATGATTAAACCATGTCCGATCTTGCCCCGCTAGGCAGAAGGGTACTGGTCAAAATTGTCCACCACTGAGCACAGGATCAGGGATTTTAGCAATCACCACTAAGCTTCCCGGTATCCAATTTTGCGTGATCGGATCGAGCTGGGTTACGTCCCCATTTTTCCGTCGTGGTCAGAACTCCAATTTTTGATGCTCAAGTTTGGAGGCCTTCTGTTGACACATAGTTAGCACATGTTCTAGGTTGCTTCATTATCTCACAAGGTCTGAAGGCGCACGAACAACATATCCAGCAGATTCAGCTCTTTAAATGCAGCACGTACTGGTCATAAGTGTTCCTACCAGGTGCTATACGCGATGCTAACAATATAACCTGCAAGTGCTAATGCACATGGTTCGCCCTATGAGGACGGCTCAAAGCACTTATGAACTAATTATATAATATTGTCATGGTAAGACGTACTCAAGTTGTGCCTAGTCTCAACCAATTGTTTCCCCATCGAGTTTGCAACTGCATGGGGCGGCCGTTTGGGTTCTGGCTGCTGTGGCCCCGATTCTGCGTCATTCAGTTTCACGGTCATTGAACATAGAAATCATGGCCATAGGCTGAGGCAGCCAAGTCACATTGTGATGAAAAAGATTGCGCAAGGTTCAACACAGAAATTCAAGCTGAAGAAATCACCGTAATTTGGCATGCCCCGTACTGCTGATTCGTCAATTCTCCCATCTCAGAGCTGCGCCATCCATTTTCCAGTATTTACACTGACTTGCTCTCAGCTAGGCAGAAGGATATGGGTCAACACTGTCCACCACAGACTTTGGGGATTTTGGCATGCACCGTTTAGGTTTCGCGGTAGCCTTTCCTGATAAGAGAGTAATAATTAATTGTTGTATCCTCCTTTTTGTTGTGGTCAACCCCCCATTTTTGATGCTCAAATTTGGGGGTGCCTAGCGTTGACCCATACTTAGAAGATCTTCTACAGCAAGCAGCGGTTCAGTTTGCACCACGAATTCTCGTTGAAATTTGTAATACAGCCGCGTCAGGCACACAGCCGGCGACGGCCTCAAAGGCGCAACTGGGACACTAGGCCCCCGGGGCTGGCGCGATTTGTGCCCCCTTTCACTCATCTGTCTATGTGTATATCTTTCATACGCATAGGTAAGTAGATACATATGTGTTTGACATTTGTATATAAATGTGTGTGTTTGCACTACAACTATACGGTGTAAATTTGCATGTATGAGATAAATTTCATATATGTAGTTACATTACTGTATATAACATTGTGTATGTGTATGTATGTAAATGACTGTAAAATATTGTAAATATACAGTACCTCAGTTGGTAACTTGCCAAATCAATCCAAATCAGACTTCCTGACCTCTTTGTAGAAAGTGCAGATTGTATTTGATGTTGAATATAGAACTAGTTCTGGCCGCAGCATCGCCGCAACAGAATTCTCTTGGCCAGCAGATTGCAGCTGCAAGTACACAGAAAACAACTCGCGTATACAGGAGGATATTCCGGACATTGATCAAGAAGAATACTCGAAGTGTAAGAAGAAAAACTCCAAGAGAAACACACCCTGATCAATCTCTTTCTGCCTGCTCATGCCGTGGTTTTACATCCTCAAAACATGACATCATTCACAAAAAAAACACATATTCCTTTCAAGGCGTAAAACGCCAAGATTTTTGAAGTTCAGCCAGATAAACCTTTACTGAACTTTACTGGGTGCCCCGGCACATCCATTTGCCCTCAGGGCTCTTCATGGTTCTCCCCTCCCGTGTATTCGTAATACACCCGCGGAGTCTCTCGCGGCAACGGGAAGAGGGTTCCTTGGATTGGCGAAAAGGAAAATCGAATAAAATCCACACATTCCCTTAGATTGCCCAGTCCCGATGTTCAAACCAAAACTGATATCTTCCTTGCAGGCCCCTGAGATTTAACGAAAATGTTGATCGTTGAAACCAATCATGCACCTGACTCCCCAATGGCAACTCACTAGGGCCACTAGGGCCACTAGGGTGACATTGACATAATAATTACAGTACTGTAATGTACTGTATAATATAATAAAGAAAGCACTGGTGAAACCAATCCACGGGTTGTGGTTGAACTGCCAGAGAATTCCAAATGCTATGCTCGGACTGGCATCGGACTCAGATCCCTCCGAACCCATCTCCAAAACATGGAGATGTCATGTCGAAAACCTGTCGAAAACCAGTAAATCACCTTAAGATTACCTTAAGATACCTTAAGCATATTCAATGTTTACCCCAAGAAGGTAGATTTACCCAAAAATGATGGGCTTTTGAAACCAATCCAAGGTCCAAGGCTCTGGTTACCGTCCGAGCAAAGCATTCGGAAATTCCGAATGCTTTGTTCGGACTGGCACCATCAGACTCCGATCCCGAAGCCATCTCCAAATCCTGGGGATTTGGATGGCTGTAGGGCTCAGTCACATCCCATGACCAGGTTCAATCAGAAACATTATGTGAAATCAGTGGAACCATGGACCATGGCATTTTTGGGGTACGCATGGGCCTCCACGGTGATTCGACTCAATACTGAAGCAGAGCTTGTGCCCGCGCTGTTGGGTTTGCCGGGGAAGGGATCGACTATGTTTGACCATCGAATCGAGGACCTACATGTGCAATTTTCATCTGGCATGGATAGATATAGATATATAGCGAGATATAGATATTGTACAGTAGATTTAGACATCAAATATCATGACATATCAGAAACATATATTATATATAACTATATATACAATATATGTATATATATATATCATATGTTATATATATATATTATATATATAATATAATTATATATATATTATGAAGACATATGAACCTGGACAACTCGGCAAAACAACAACCATCACCAGCATCTCCTAACGACATCTCCCATCCTGCGGTGGTGAAAGCTTCGGTTGTTTCGCTTGCATCTCCTGCTGCTCCCTCTGAATCCGCTCTAACCAGCCTTGCTACCTGGGAAGCCGTTGATTTATGGCAATTTTGATGTGGAAATCCCTGAACATCCCTGAACTAAATGGGGAGTTCAATGGAAAAATCATCCATGAATTTACTATAAGTGGGGGTTTTCCATTACCATGTTGTTTTCCCAGGGGAAATCGAAAACAACATAAACAAGGCGATTTTGGTTATACACACTTCCCATACACGTATGCATATACATCATGGCTGTGGTTCACACACTCAAAATTATCGAGGCCCCGTTGCAGTGAGAAGTGAGCCATAGCATTTTCATGCATTTTCCACTAATTCCATCTTCCAACAAATGGTCGACATAGAAAAACTCATGGAGTTGCACCTTGAAAAAGATTGTTTGGCACTTTCACAAACCCATCCCCAAGACATGGGGATCATCTTTTGGAGGATAATCAAACAAAACAGCAGAAAGACAAAACAATTTCAAAGGTGAAATCCTCATTTTTGCCAGCTATGTCTCCATTTTTGATCAAATTCTCATTTTCGAAGCATTTCGAAGCTTGACACTACCCAAATACTTTGATGGAAAACCATGGGAAACCCACACCTACCGAGAATCAGTTGGTCCCTCGCTCCCTCGGCTCCTCCCAACACCACCATCCCCGGGTTCGGCGCACAGGGCAACACAACAGAAGCCGGCATAGGCCGTCAACAGGATCGCCAGCAGAATGTAGTGTCCTGGCCACTGCCACTGCATCTGGGATAGCATTGGGAGATATTGCATGGGAGTATACAACTATATTACGGGGCATTAATATGGATGAATACTCGGTAAACCATTTGGAGATGGGCCGAAACAAATGCTCGCATGATATCATGTCACTATTGAAGATCCACCCTGGGATGGATACTGGCGCTGCTCGCTCTGTCTGAAAATATTGGGGAAACACAAAAGTCCAAAAATCCGACGGTATAGAAAAAGATTCCATTTCTGCAGAAACCCAGTACTTGTACCCTGGTTTTTTACATGAAACATAGCTCCCCATCTCCGATAGTCCCATAGGTGGCACGACACATCCTCAAAGGGTGTTCCTGGTTCCTTGTCATGGGGAATTTTGGTTTCTGTAGATGAAGTGTAGTTTGTTAGTAATTATTCAGAAATGGCTGCAATGCAAGATCTGAATGATGTTTGGGGTTATACTGTTATACCCAACCACTCCTCACAAAGCTATCTTCTAGGTCTAGGTATCACCCCACAAGGGTCAAAAATATCTTTGTCGACACCAGAATAGAGTGTCAAGCTAATGTGCAGAACTCTATGTTCAAGAAATTGCTGCCGTTTTTTCCCCGTATAGCCAGCAAATCTTCTCAGATTCCAGTCTATTGCTGGTTTTGTACCACGTGTTGTTGGGCTTACATCCAGTGTACGCAATATCTATAAACCCGTTATATATTTTCTGAAGTTTGCCCTCCAGCTATAGGAATTGCATGGAATTGCCACACCCGTGCATTTCCCCTTTAGAATTCAGTTCAGGAGCGCTATTGAACCAATGCATGCATGCATGTAATGCCTGTGGTGCCTCCTGCCCCTTTTCTTTGCAACTACCTCATCACGAGGTGCGACGTGATCTTGACGTTGGGTCATATCTCACGTTGAAATACATTGAAAATTGACTTAGCAACCTCTTGAAGGGCGCCCGGTCAAGTATCAGCAAGCGCAAGGCTTCCGGTTGAACGGATGTCCACATTGTTCACATGTCACTACTTTCAGAAGCAACTGGAAGACTCGCAACCTCAATGAAACGAATCAGAGACGGTGACTTGGCTATGGGTCACGCCAGGAAGCCACAAGAAGATCAGTGTTTTTTAATCAACAACCACTTTGACCGATACTCCGCAATCACCTCAGCATCACATCATGCCAGCATCGAGTTCTTCGGACCATTGGTCCTGCGCCGGAAAATCTGCGCGCTTTGTGGGCATGGCGACTTTCGTGACATCCAGGTTGCCTCGGGTCGCTGACAGCTGCCTGTAAACCTGCGACCGGTCCAGTGGGGCGCCAGGCTGTTACAACATGCTACAGTACAACTTTGGGCCACTCACTTTAAGCATCTTTAAGCTATGCCATGACCTACTTCCTCCAAGTTGCCAAAGACATAGGCAAAGTCTTCCCATTCCATCCAGAACTTGCCGTCGAAGGTCAACTCGTTTTCCTGAAAATCATGACAGGAGCAGGAGCAGAGCGGGAAAAGTTCTCCGCCCAACTCTACAATTCGCGCAAAAAATCGGAGAAGCAAGCAAATCAGCACATGTGCGTCCAGATCATTGACAGATATTGAAAGAGTGGAACCTGAGTGGCAAAGCAGAAACCCCATCCCATCACAATTTCTTCCAAACTCGCCTTTAGTCCTTCTTGGATCTTCGGGTTGGCTGCCCATTCATCAGAACGGTCGCTCCATGGGCCGCCCCACTCATCTTCCCCCCAGGGATTCCGCAACTGCATGAAGCGCATGCCCTCAACCTCCTTGGCCTGGAGAACTGAATACCTGAGATCCCAACACACCACAAGAGACAGCAACAACAAAAGCGAAAAACCTACAACGCTTTCGGCCTGGAGCGGCGCTCGAAGCCCTTCTATCCTTTGCGCCCCAAACAATTGGAACCCTGCCTTGGAACCTTTGGAACCTCTGGAACCTCAAACCTCGATTGAAACCCGAACCCCCCTGAGCACGAAAGTTCCACAGCGAACCCTGCGGAGCGAGGTTCCCAAACTGGCCGACGCCTTCCAGAATGTTGGCGGAACAAGGTTTCAGAATGTTTCAGGAACATGTTTCGCGAGCTTGACCCTTGAACCGGTGGTTTCAACCATGCTTCGCGGACCTTCGCGGCCCCGCCCAGCTTTCTGCTCAACTTCGGCCCGCTCAAACTGACCCACACAGCAACAGAGCAACCGAATAGCTACAAATGCTACAGTTGTTGATGTTAGCTTATGTTCAGTTTGGTCATGGATTTGGTCATTTCGTCTATAGCCGTTTTGCCGTTTAGCTGTTTGAAGCAACCGCTGTCGCCGTAAAGAAAATGCACCCGCCAAGGGCCCCACGCATGCTCCGGCATGATGCCAGAAAGGCGGTCATCGCACACTTTGTTCATCTGCGAGCCCATGAGGAAGTTTGAAGTGTCATACTCCAGGAGCAATTTCCAAACTGACAAAGCAGAAAAGAATGAAAGGACAAGGCGACACCAGGTGACAGGAGGTGATACATTGATTGACACATTGCCCACTTGCACAGCTCAACACATTCAAGAAACATCAATCCGCGTCTGGCAGAAACTACACTATCGAAAAATGGTGTTTGAATCAGCCAAAGTGACACTCTTCCTGATCGATCTGTCCAGATGAAATTATGTCTTGCGCTGGAGTCTCGGGGTCATCATCGCCAAAACGTGGATTGTCAAGGATCTTGCCTGGCTGGGATCCCGAGTTCCGAGAGTATCAATTCCAAAATTTCAAGTTTCGAATACGTAGTTTGCTTAGCAACATCTTCACCTTCAGCGCAACCAAGTTTCTTTCGGTTTTGGTAATGCTCAGTGGCGTCTCTCTGGCCGCCGTCTTCTTTCCGCCTGGCAACTGGTGGCAGTAGAGAAATAATGGATACCAAGTCTGCTCCGAGTACCTTTGCCAGAGTCATCATCCCACCTTAATGAAGCTTTAGATGCCACAGCCTCCTGAAACTAATCCAAACTAATCCTAGAACACTTGCTATCATTCCCGCACACTAGTGATATCTGCCTTTGTAGTACCAGACAAAGCCCTCGTCTGGACCAGCGCCCTCGATCTTTTTGAATCGGATGCAACATCGTGCTCTCTCCACCTCTTGAAAGCGAGCACCTGCCGAGGAAACCACTAAGGACCACCGGCTGTGGAAGTTCTTGGCCAGTCGTTGTCTGCTATGATGACTCGTTACTAGGTGCTACGAGTAACATACTTATTATACAGTCATACAGCATACAAATAGATTATCAACCACCAACCATGCTAAGCTGAGTTCCCTCCCAGCCTTTCTCCAACTTTCCGATCCGTTTGCTTTGACGCTTGTTCTCCTCGCGCACGAAGATGCCTTCCTCTGCTGTGACAACCTGAGCAGGAAAGGACTAGGAGTTTGCAAACTAATTTGGGGTTGTCGGAAAATGGTGATTAAATGGGGATATAATTATGATATAATGATATAACCAATAAAGATGGTGATATACTATAATAGGACCTTTGATAGGATATATATAATTATATAATAGGGATAAAGGGGATATAAATGGGGATGAATTGCGGATACAACGGGGATATAAGGGGAAATTGGGTTTGGTTGATAGGGATTCCCAGCATGGATTTTGATAATCCCCTATATATTGGGTAATAAAGCCGCTATCATAATCATTTTGAACCCTGCTGCGCAATTCAAATTCAAAGCGTTTCCAGGGCCCTGAAGTTTTTCTGTGATCCCACTGAATGTCTCATCCACCTGGCACGCTTTCAGCACATCAGAAACCGCGACTCACTTCCCGATGCCAAAGTGGGGCCAAGGCGCCCAGATCATCGGAAATTCGAATCGTCCCCAAATCTTCACAATGTCGCAGCAGCCAGTCATATGAGCCCAGGCAGTCGTGGCCATGCCGCTTGTCAACTTCGTATAGGATCCACACCTCAATGTGACGACTCAACGGTGGTGTTGTCATGTGGTATCTCTAGGTCATGGGTGAACCTGCACAACATGAATCTGTGGTTTCGTTGGTGGGGAGAAGCGACGTCTATAGTCTATAGTGAACCGCCTTAAAGGGTCATCGTCACTCATCACAACCACGGGTACATTAAACCAAGATGCAACCCAAAAATTGTCTGGAGGTGGATATGGTTTTCTGAGATATGGCCATTCTCAGGTGCCCAAACCCCATGGGTTCGGTTCATTCATGAAAAGGCACAGTTTAGCCATTGCCTTTTCAATCAGCGGCACCATGATCTTGTGGTCTACAACTTTGGCACTCAAGTTTTGGATGGATGTTCGGTTCCATGGCAAGGACGGAACGCGGTCGTCAATCGTGATCACCTTCCATTCCTCACAGGGAAATCCGCAGGTCATTTGTGCAATGACGGCTCAGTCAGTTAATTGATGTTAATTGGCCAATGACCACAGGAACGTTAAAAAAGAAAATGATGGATGTAAACAAGATGAAACATGTATGTGTAGCCACACGCCACACATAGCCACCGCCATGCTAATTGATCACCGCAAATCATCGCCGTGCACAGTTGACGGAGGTCCTGTAACTTGCAATCGAAGAGTTTGATCTCGTACTTCCCATCCTCAGGAATTTCCTGCGCAGACACGTTCGGAACTTGTGCAACTTGTGGTGGAATCTGAAGAATGTCCAAAAAATAGCAAAATATACAATAAACAATATAAATATATATATATTTATAATTATATATATACATATTTATAATCATATACATATATATATATATATTTATAATTATATATATAATTAAATATATATAATTAAATATACTCCCAACAATCCCAGTCATGAATTTTTGGGTTTGGGCTTTTCCACCAATGGTTTTCCGAGAAACTCGGCTCCTGCGTCACAAAGAGATGATCTTTGAAGAAGTTGGGGAACTCAGCCACGCAAGAAATGGCGCACAGCAGCCAGCAATCCCCTGCAACGAACTGGGACAATTGCCAGTAAAACCAGGGCTGATCACATGTACATATATATATATATATAGGGCAAAGGCTGGGGGTTCCCCGGAAGCCAATTGCAATTTATTTGTATGGATCTGCAAAATGTTGATTTTACACTGTATTTTACAGTGTTTTTGCCTTTCCTTCAAAGTGTTCCATCAGTGAAAGTATCAATGTCAGCGCGGATAAACTCGGAGTTTGTCCGCGCAGAAAATTACATCTTCCATGGATGGCCAAACATGTGTGCAACATTTTTCCCATTGGAATTGCGGTTTCATGCATGTTTTGAGTTTTTGTTGATAAGTACAAAATGTCATAATTCACTGGAGAACCATGGACGAAATGAACATCACATCTTTTTCATCTTCGCGTCCACAAAACTTTTTTTGGCATGGTGATGGAAAATGTTGTTTTCACACTGTGTTTTACAGTGTTTTATGTTTTTCACATGACGTTATTACAGCCCCCCCACCCCCCCACCCCCCCTTCTGTAAACAACAACGAAACTTTCAACGTAACACCATCTTCCAACCAAGCAACATCTTCCAGGATTCAACATCATCCAACGCACTTCACATGAAGTTATTACACACCCCCCCACCCCCACCCCCCCACCCCCCATCTCTATACAAGAACGACCTTTATGGTATAGCATCAAGACTGAGGGTTCCTCGAAGCTCCGGGGAACCCCCAGCCTTGAGCCTATATATATACACACACATACTCATGTTGTATTATATTAGATCTATCGATCTATCTATCGATCTATCTATCTGTCTGTCCATCTATCTGTCTGTCTATTAATCTAATCTATCTATCTAATTTATTAATCTACTAATCTATCTATCGATCTATCTAATCTATCTATCGATCTAATCTATCTATCTAATCTAATCTATCTATCTAATCTAATCTACCTATCTATCTATCAACCTATCCTATCCTATCCTATCCTATCCTATCCATCTGTCTACCTATCTATCTATTTGTCTATCTGTGGAGATATGTATATATAACTGTATATATATATATATATACATAATGTATATCAATGTATTATGTGTATATATATAATATATATAATACATAATTACATGTTATGTGTGTGCGACTCATTTGTGTACCTTGCTACATTTTCTGGAGCGACAAATACTAATACTAGCTCTGGCAACCCAAGCTATTTTATTGAAAATTGAAAAAATCAAACCCACGGCCCGGGGTCGCCCTGCAGCCAGTCACCTACCATTCCCTGAAGAATATCGCCAGGTTCGGCGTCGTCAAAAAGGACGGGCGTCGAAGTGTATTCCGCGAGACGGGCCCAATAAGCCTGACACTGCAAAGAGAATGGCCAAAAACGCTACCTACCGAAATATAATATAAGATAATATAATAAGGCCATCAATATAAAAAAGCATCGAAACGTGGGGTAACCGGAAAGTCTTCGTACTTCACAAATTCAGGAACCTAGGAACCTTATACCCGTTCGGTTCGCAGTAGCAAGAGACCTTGGGGCCCATGCTCTCTTTGTTGGGCGGAAAGTCTGGATCCACGAAGCCTTCGGGAACACCCTCCTGACCAGCAGAAAATATCTGGGTATCCCCATCGAGGGGTGAATCATCATTTGCTCTGTTAAAAAAAACGTGCCCATGGGCTTTAAATAACATCTCCGTGATTTTGGCCAAAATTCTCCACCATTTATGGTTGGCTCAACAAAAGTTGACCTGAATTGCAACACCCAGGCACAACCTTCTTATACTTTGTCCTCGCACCACCCTTTGAGGGTGGATAGCCATTGGCATCAAGCTCATGAGGAATCACTGGGCGATACCTGGTGCTTTGGGAGTCGAGCCAAGGCGCCACTAAGGGTGAATAGCAGTCGGTAGGTGCACTTCGTAAGTACCATTCTCGTTGCTCGTTGGTGTGACCGAGCCCAAGCGTCCAGTACTTCTTCTCAGCATGGTAGTACAAATATCGATTATTCCACCTGCACAGGCGGTTACAGCAATGGGAAAGGGGGGGGCGGCTCAAGTCACTTAAACAAGTCAAAGTCGGAGGAGTTTGGTAATGTTTGGCAGTTTCGGTAGTGACGGCCAGCCTATTGTACTTCTCATTCCAAGCTTGATAGACAGGACGGCCGTTCTTCATCTCCTCTGTCTTTTTGAAGCACTCATTGTGTCCAGCTGCAGTGTTCCTCTTGCTGCCAACGGCACCTGGCGCTTCAAACCAACAATGAGCAATTTGCTCGGAGTTCATGAGGATAGTGTCGGGTGCCAAAGCAATCAGCTCCTCTACTGTGAGCAATCTGCAAACCATCTGTGGCGACTTCACGAAGGCTTTGTCCTTCGGACTCCAAACTGACCATGCTTGGCCCGCCATGTGAGGCCCTCGCGAGGTCTTCACACGACAAGACGAATATTGGGAGACGCGCCAGAAGATGGACCACTGTTTGTTCTCAGCATGATAGAACATACAGTAGTCGTTCTCGCGACAGTAGAAGGTGGGCCGATGGTTGTAATATTTCCCGTCCTCGGGTTGGTTTTCGTGTCGGAAGCATCTCAGTTCCCAGGCTGAAAACTCAAAGGGCAAGTGATCACAAGAAGAAAATGTTCTTCATCATCCATTTTTTTCCCCTGAACTGAAAGGTGAAAACTCCCATGTTTCAGGTCTCTAGAAGGGATTCTCTGTCCTGTACATAATCACCATTGAACTGCTCTCTTGGACAACCTTCTACACGAAGTGTGACGTTGCCTTTGCTGCTGGTGATGATGTCGTTCTCGGTGAAGGCCCAATTCCTAAGTATGTCAAAGTTTGAGAGGCCCCGGTCCGTTCAATACTTTATGTTATAAACCTGCATGCATAGTGGTGAACCAATGAAGTATATGTATATGTCACATCTAATCTGTATAGTATAATTATATATAATATATCATATTATCATATTGTATATGTATGTATTGTATGTGCATGTATGATGTATATGTACATCCCAATCTTATATATAGTTTTATGTAGCTAGTACATTTATTTGTACCATTTTGTACCAATGACGCTGTGAACCCCACAAGATATGCCTTAAACTTTCTTAATCAGTTTCCCTTTTAAAACTGTTAACTTCGGCAATGTGTTCTCTGAGAGTCAGAAATTCTTTGACCGAAAGCTCTCCATCGCCATTTTTGTCAGCAGCCGCAAGCAGTTCATCCACGGATTCATTGTCCCAATCCTCCGGGTCCAAGGCTTTCAAGACCTCAGCGAAACCGTCTGAGAAGATTGGGGTCACAGCATGGGAAATAAATTACGAATTTCTCTCCCCTTGTAAGGTCGTGTTAGGATGCACCCCCCGGTCCCCGCTCCTCTCCCAACTCATCTCTGGAGATGGATCCAGATCCGTCAGCATCGAACTTCTGAAATGCCTCGAGCACCTTCTCATCATATTGCCCTGCGACCTCCCTGTCGTTGTGGTCTTTGAATTCCAACTTCTTGCGGGACCATTCCACCATCACTGCCACTCTTGAAGGCTTTGGGCTTTGGGCTTTTCACGATGCGGGCGAAATGTCTTGGGCCGCGGGTTTCGCTGCGGGCATGGACATGTCATGTCACATCAGGTCATCACAATGGAAACTTCTTCAAGTCCTAACGTGGTCCTCTGAAGAAGAATCCATAAGTACCCTCCAAGTACCACTAAACAAATGTATTTTAATTTACCCCCTCATTTTAGTACTTTTACCCGTGTTGATGTTGTTTCTCGTTGTTGGAGCAAGTGACTAATAGAATCAGGTCTCCCAGCAGCTAGCACAGCGAAGAGTGCCTTGATCGCAGGCGCCGTCGTTTCGAGGCGACAGACCAACCTGGGCACAAAAATGAAGAAAGAGCCAGGAGGTTGGGAATAAATTTGGGATGAATCGCTGAATTTTAGGGGAATCATTCTCATTCTCATTCTCAGTTGTGCTTGCTGATTTGGAAGTAGTTGGCACTTCTAAGACAGGCTCTTGCGTACCAATTTCAGGAAGGCAGATCGAGTTTGAGCTGAGTTCATGCTTTCCCAGATTTGGGACATATGTTGGCAATGTTTCTAGGCTGCCAGATCACGGCACAAACACACGCCGATTCAAGCGATCCTCAGTCAGTGCAATTTCTTGACAGGCTACCATCAAATACGTCAAGGTGATTGATTCAACATGATCTAACTGCTTAAGCTTCATCTCGTCCCCGAGGTTCCATGCTACTCGCCTTGTTTCAGTCTATGGCTTGAACTAGTCTTGTCCAAAATGTGAGAGGGACATAGAGGGAGTAAATGTCCAATATCGAGACACCACTGAGCTCGAAAGCCAATTTAGCTGCGAACAGGTGCTTTTCGCGCCGAGAAACATCATCTCTTTGCTGGGCAAGGGGTTCCACTAAGAGCTTGTCGTGCCAAGGTTGCACCACCTGGCGCTCACGACTGTGACACTGTGCCCCAAAAAATGCAAAAATGCGGGAAAGATCGGTTTTTAGGTCACCTGTCTTTAGGTCTTTTCTCAACCATTTATGATTTATGATGATTTATGATCAACCTTGATTTTGGATGATTTAGGCAACAGCCCAAAGGTCAACTTGAAGCAAAACGAAGTCCTAGCTTCAACATCAGAATGGCTTGATACCCAGAAAGAAAGCCCCCAAGCCCAGAAGGCTTAGCCATACGGCTCCCAAGTCAAGGGCCTTTCTGGTAGCCACCTGGGTTTGCAGTAATTTCTCCAACTTCATCACGTGCTTTCCGAGGGGAAGTCAAAATGAACCAAGAATGACCCTTAAACATCCAAACTCAGGTCCCAGGCAATTGCTCCTCGCCTTGGAGGTGGAAGTGGTTGTATCATTGGGTGATTTTGCGTTGTTTTATGCTTTAGAAATTCTCGGCAATCATCAATCGTCCGATATGTACCCCCTCTGAAGCACATGTCTTTCCTGGATGTTCCGAACTGAAAAGATCGAAAGCCCCAAGACAGTCAACTGTCTGTCACAATACAAAGATGTGGCTTTGGGAGCAGCTCTTTGTCCCAACTGGGCACACCAACCCATCGGCTGCGCATGGCGAAGCGCCGTCAAAGGCAGAAGGCGCTGCAGCACAGCTGAACCGCAGCGGCTAGCAGGTCACGCAGGTCACCCGGTCACAGCAATGCTGGGCAGTTCCAAGGGCCACTCTGGAAGAAACCAGGAATCCAAGCCATAAGCCACTGAATGCCACTGAGTTGCTCTACTATGATCATGAGATGATCATACAGCTGATCACTGAACAGATATATATTTAAAAAAAGTTTGATCTCGTTGAATAATCTGTCCAGGTGTGCAAAGGCAAAGCCTGAGGCACTGATTGACGACTGATTGTCAGGGGGCTTGCCTCTCAGGTGCTGAAGAGACAGCAACCGCCCTCAGAATTCGCACAGGTCACAGGTGAAACTCGCCGCGAAAATCAGATGTCCAGCAGAAATCTTGGGACTGCCCATGATTTTCCATGTCGAGTGCCATCTTTTCAGCGTTTTCATGACCACTCAACAGGGAAAAAAACACCAGGTTAGGTCTCAGTGGCTTCTTCCCAGTGGTCGAAGAACTCCCTGCGACCACAGCACTTCAACAAGCAACGCCAAGCTTCACCGAAACATTCGAAGAAGCAAGCAGAACATGATGAATGGCTCAGGAGGCAACCCTCAAAATGTCCATGTGTATAATGTGTATATACAGTTTACATACAGTATATATTTGTGTGTGTGTGCGTGTCGTATTTGTAATCGCCCATCTATTTGATTCTGTATCAATTGTATCAGTTGTATCCTCACACCCCTATTTGTCTCAGGAAAAATAATGCTGGTGGCCGGTCATTCCCTCCTTAAAGTGACAAGGACTTGTGTGAGTTACAGCATATAGAAACTGAGAACCGCAGAATCACTTGCTTTATCATATTGTGAATTCAAAAAGGCCACATCTTGGTGAGGTACCAAAGCCACAAATCATAGTGGTTATATCAAGTTGTATATATCCCATAGTATCAAAGCGATGGGATGTTGCTTGGTTCAATGCCAAGTATATCCCCATAGTGTGGTAGACCCAACAATAAATCATCCCCAAAATCATCATAAATGGGTCTGATCCCCAAATGGTAGCTTTCTTATAGGGTTGCCCACATTAATCTTATCCCATGCATTCTTGTACTCCAGTTTCCAAAAGCCTTCACCCAAATGCTAGGGCGCCAGGGCTGGCCAGTGTCCAACGTGGGCCTGCTCGGATCATGCCAATGATTCAATGGGCCAGAGGCCGGTTGAAAAGTATGGGTTTTACTGACAAAAGTGATGATTTTTTTTGAGTTTCGCTGATGAATTTAGACAGAAATGGATTTAAGCATGTACCCGACATGATCATCAAACATGGCCGACTGGGAAGTGACCAGTTGGTACGAAAACATCTGTAAGTGGCAACAGACGATTGATTTTCCTCTGCCACGTTTGAATACCAGAGAGTATATGCTCTGATCATTCATTATGGCAATGGAAAATGGCCACATTCAAGAGGAAAATCATCAGCAAACAGGTGATTTTCCGTTGGGATATTTGACTTTTAGAGGGCACCATATGATTGCCTCTACGCCACCTTCTTGGAGGTTCAATCAAGTTCAACCGTCAGGTCATGTCACAAACCCACTGAAAAGAACAGTATAATATATATATATATGTATAGACTCCCAGAGTTAAGAAACCAATGCAGCTTTTATCTGGTCCCCAATCATTAGGGCTAGCTACAGTTCATTATCCGAAATAAACCAGGTAGTATGACCCTCTGCAAATAAACACCTTGAACCATCAACAGTCATTGATTAAGTATATCCGCATATGTTCGACAACTAAAATAGTTACAAACCCATCAGGCCGGGTATCCCTTTGACCGGGAACCGTATCCAAGAAGTGAGGAGTGGGCACATGCATCGCCGAGTTCGAAGGCCCTCAACTAAGCTGGTTGCGTGAAACCCGAAAGTGCTTGCGTGCTGTGTTTTTGGGGACCTTCCTCAATATCAAGCCCTTTGAAAAGGGGAAAACAACATAAACCGGTGTCCAAGACAGGGGGGAAATCCAAAAAATTGCCTTTCCCTGCAACACCTGGGGGGTTCCATCTTTTGAATCCTCCCCGGGCCTATCCAAGCCGATGACACCCTCATCTTCAAGCCAGGAGATGGCTATCGCCCTGGGATGCTGGAAGAAATCCCATCCTCTGAATGTTGGTGATTTGAAATGGATGACCATTTTCCCATGGTATGTATTCAATTTGTTACGCTTGGCACAGCGTGAGATCAAGATTCCTACAATGGATTTATACCAATCCCCATACGGGCACGGGTCAAAATTGGCTACCCCAAAATGTCACAGTGTAAGACGAAAAAATGCCAAAATCTATGGTCGCCTGGATCTTTCATATTCACCAATCCCAGTATATATACATATATTATATATATATACATATACAGTATATATACATGTATATAGTATATAGATTGGTGAAAAACTAAGATTGCCATCTTTAACGTCCAGGGGAAAAAAAACTGCTACTCAATCCATTGCCAATCCATTGCCATTGCTATCAATGAAAAACCCATGGTCACCTTGGCGACGGCAGGTCCTCTGGCGCCTGCACAAGTGGGATATGACCAACGATATGATGAGTATATATCTAGTATGTGTATACATATATATATAGCTAAACATGTGTAGATAGATGTATATATGTGAACAATGAACATACATCAAAATGTAAAATTGCAATGGATATTCATCAACTATATGGCTGTTTCTCAAAATGGACGATGGGTTCCAGTTTATGGCCATTCAATTTCAATTTAATGCCATGTCAATGGGGAAAATGAAATGGATTTTGAGACGTCCCCATCATATCTGAAATGTTCTTGAAACCATTTGCAACAACAAGACACGACAACCAAGATCATGGATATTTAGTAGATACAGTCCGTAAATCTTGGTATGTCAGAAAACAAATGGAATGTAGCCGTTACATTATATGTGTATATTTATAATGTGTATATATATATATATATATACACCCAGTTATTGGTGATACACCTATTGCAAATAGCCCATTTTTTGGGCCCGTGGGATTCCAGTGACTGGCACCAGAAAATCCCAAGCATCCCACTGCTGCAAAACTCCAGCATTGCCTTGGCTTGGGCTTCTAGCGCTCCATCCACGACCTCGAAATGTAGGTGCTGTACATATGCTACATATACCGTGTGTGATTGTATTATGTTTACAGTATATGTATATACATATATATATATTATTTATCTATATATAGAGTATATACATACAAAATCATACACATCATTCTAAATAAGATAAATAAGATGCAGACTTTCAATTTCAGATTTGCCATGGCTCGAGGATCCAAGGTGCCCGTCTCTTTAAACATGTACCTGTGTTCAAGAAATCTCACAGTTGAGCAGTGACGTGAGGAATCCTAGGACACCTTAGGACACCAATGCTGCCACACATCAAACCTTACCATCTGGTGCAGCCAAAGCTTCTATTTCCAAGCGGTCTTCACCGGATCTGGCAGCAAGCACTTCAGAAGGTATGTCATGATCACTGCTTCTCCAGCCAAATGGGTGTGGCTAAAATTTGCAGATCCCCCAACCCTCGGTATTTCTGATATAATACCTGATATAAAACATCTACATTCATGTTCAGCACGGCTACCGGGCTACCCAAATCCATCTTGGCATAGGCGTCCCCAAACATGGCAAGGCGGCAAGGCAGGCCCTTCTCGACCTTCGACCTGGCAATGACCCATTTAAGGAAGTGGATGTCTTGAGGGGGCTGGTGTGGAGGTCTTGGTGGATTCTTCATTGATACGTATACTAAGGCACTAGCAGATAGAATATTATCCAGTGTTCAGAGATCGAAAAATTTGCGGGTGAAACCTGGTTCCCCGGTGGGAATATTCTATCTGTTTAAGATGAGTAGCAAAAAGTTGATTTCGCGTATCTATATATATATACGAAATCGTTGATATTTTGAGCTTATAAATTATGGAAATATATCTCTGAACTATTCTATCTGTTGGATCCGTGTGTATATATATATATATGGTTTTCTGCATTTTCAATGGTATATGTTATTCGATGAAGAATGAATATCAACAAAATCAACAATTTCATATCAATATATTCATCAAAGAAGGAACCATCACTGGTATCATTGGTATGTTGGAATATTCTATCTGTTGGTTTCATGTGTATATATATATATAGGTTTTCTGCATCCTCCATGGATTACTGATTACTGTATCCAACAAAGAATGAACTTTTAACGTTTCAATTAGTGATTTTTTCTTTTTAAACGGTCTTCAGAAATCAACAGATAGAATATTCAGACTGGAATGCCAGCTTTGCTGGCTGCCAGTGGTCACATTCTATAGATATCATATATTAGGAAAACATTGGCACAAGCCTTAGCAAGAATACGATTTTCATGTGTTTGGATGTGCAATTAGTAGAAACCACATGCAATGTTTTCCTAACCATCCCATAGCTATTCAATCATCTGAGGGATACAATATTGTGGAACACATTGACATCAAATGCAACATTTTCCAGGCAATCCCATAGATAGTCAATGATTTCAGAAATATACATCAGGGAAAACGCTGAAACCAAACGCATCATTTTTTCTCAGCAATCCCATAGAGAATCAATGATTTAAGGTATGGAAAACATTGAAACACAAATGCAATATTATCTCATTAATCCCATAGAGAATCAATGATTTTAGGGATACATCATTTTTGCAGGTGAGAATATTCTATCTCTTGATTTGCTTGCAAAAATCATCAAAATCATATAGTTTCTTTAATGTGTTGCTTATCATGAATATTCTATCTGTTGGATTTGCTGATAGCGTTTTGGACTATTCTATCTGTTGTCCAGTGTTTTTTGAATATTCTATCTGCTGGTGACTTAGTATATATATATAAATGTATATAATAACACTGTATGTGTATATATATATATAGTGATCCAAAAATAGATAGAAAAGTTACAACCCCGAAAACGGTAGTAGAATTTCTACTAATTTACCAGATTTCTATCTTCTGTATATATATAATATATATGTATATTATGTTATATAGATATCATATTATATACAGTACATAGTAACCCCGAAAAATGGAATCCTTTTTTGAAGTGGTGATAGATTACTTTGTTATCTTTTTGGGGGTTACTATATACATTGTCTGTTTAATTACCCCTTTACTCTCCCTAGGGTTAACCATCACCAAAGAGTATCAGACGGATTCAGGTATCATGAGGATATGGATGAACCTTCGATCACAGAGAATAAACTGGCCATCTACTACGATGGCAGAGAAAAAAAGGATGCCTTGGTTGCGGTACATCCGCAAGGGGGTTGGTTGTTGGTAGGATGCCTGCTGCAGTAGCAGCTAAATCTTCATTAGCGTTTCTTTGTCAGCTATATCCCAAACAAGCAGAAACCGGCTGCTCATCGCACCCGAAGAAATCATGATGGAACCCCTAAAAAGTCGCGTAGGAAAATCATCTCAGAGACCCCCAGATTTAGTGGATGGGACAGAATTTGGCAACAGTACCCCTAAAAATGAAGAATGAAGAACTTAAGACCATAACAGGAGCAGAAATTGTAGATTCAAAGGGCTTCATTTCACCCGTATGTCACCCATATGTCACCTGCCGGCTGTCGCGACTTCGGCAGCCTTGGGCTCTGAGCCTCATTGATGTCAAGATGAACTGATTGATTTCCATACCCACAGTATGAGTCAATTACTGTGTGGAAATGACTGTTTGGTGGGAAACAACTAGCCTATTTGGTCAATTGCATGGTCAATTACTGTTTGGTGGTTTCAAGCGAGAAAAATAAAAGCCATGTGGGATCGTCATCCTATGGGTAGGGCGGGGTTGAAAATACGTAAGAATTGAAACCACCAATAGGATCATCATTCTAAGTAGGCTCAAGAAGAAAAATAGTCCAGATCAAGCTCCCAAAATGTCCAAGATTGGATAGACGACTGAAAATGCTGAAACATGTTGAAAACCACTAACCACTTAATGAAGAGAATTTTATCGAAGTCAGCTGTTTCACCCCTCACCATGGCCAGCGCTGCGCCGCAGCGCGTCTTGGGCCTCTTCTGGCAGTGCCACCAAATCACGAACATGCCTTGTGTGGCGTGAGGCAAGGGATGAGGCGTGATGCTCCGCTTTCCGAGAGCTTGAGCAACTACCAGCTTCATCCAATCTATCGCCTTCATCACCATCATCACCAGCATCAACAACATTGTCATCGTCAATCACAACATCATTAGCATAGTACAAGGGAGAGCCTGGAGCAAACCACTCGAGGAGCACCTTCCCTTTTCACGGATAGTGAAGCCATTCGACGTCGCAAGTTGCCCTACTGCTTTGCAAATGTACATGCCCAGCATGCAGCATATACATGCATACATCCGGATCAATCGAGAAGAAAAGTGGGAAGGTTAAAATCCACCACTTCCCCTTCAAAGTGCATCGTCATTGATCCCCAAAACTTTCGGTGATATGGGGCTGCCTTGACCCTCAGAGTTCATCTCAACCCCAGGCCCAACGGGCCCAACGGGCCCAACAGCTTTGCCCAAGAAACTCGTTGGCATCAGGATGGCGATCAACCCACTCATCCTTGAGAAGCTGGTGACCTGGTCGAGAAATGATCCGTCTCTAAACCAATGGAGAAACAGGAGGATTGCCCATTGCTGGGATGCCAACAAAGGGGACTTAATGTGACAATTTGAGGTGTTCACATGTCCTGGATAGATATGTCATTGATATAATCATGTCAAATGAGTCAAATGCATAATTGATCAAATAATATCATATATATATATTATACACATATCTATACAGAATATATAGCTTCAAGACTTGGAGTGTGCTGTCGGGTCTATGTATCATATGAATGTTGGCTCATCAAGGACTGAAGTAATGTTGGAGACCATACATCCTTGCAGCCAGCGGGTCCAAATGGGGGCTGTTTCCGCTTAGGAGAGATCAGTTTGTTGCCTAGATTCCCTGTATGTCCGGTGAGACCCATGCTTGTTGGTTACCGTACATCACAAATTGCTGAAACAAGGTGAAGCCACCAATTTTCATGGTGAAATCGTCATTTTTAATGATGAACCTGATGAAACCACTATTTCTGTTGCTTAAAATCGCCCTTTCTGTTGGTGAAGTCCCCATTTTGCTGCTGAAATCAGCCCCGGTCGGACCTCTGCGTCAGCACTGATGGCCGACCTTGGAATTGTCATTCCAGCTGTGACCCCAATAGATATCCAAAATCGGATGGATGTCCACAGAACTGGGGATTCTTACCCCAGAATTCATCCAAAAGAGTCCTATAGAAGCCTTTCGAACCCTGAGAAATGTAAGATGAATTAAGATGAAACCAGCAAAAGTTGACTCTTGACTCGTAACCAGCAAAGATTGTGTTTTGGGTCCCCAGAAACCATCGTTCTTCTGCAGTGGACTGTGCTGAAACACCAGCAAACTTCTGAACTTGGCTGGGACCTCACTGACCATAGGTGTTTGGGGATCCTCTCTGTTGCCCCAATGGTATTTCTCAAACTTGGGACTTGGATGATTTAGCCAGATGATGTTGGTTCCGGATTTTCAGAAACAACCCGATTTAACATAGCTATGGAAAAGCTGTATCCATCTAATTATAGCCATTGTTTCATAAATCATCTATAGAAACTTGGGAAACTTGGCCATTTGCAGTTCGCAGACTGCGAAATTACCAAAGGGTACCCTTCAACCCCGAGCTCATCATGTGGACCCAAGTAGCATCGAAGATGCGACCAGCGGTCACGGGACTTGGCCCGATTGGCCCCTACGGCAGGGCTGCAATGGCTGGGGACACCAAACACAACGGGGAAATGTTCCACCTGGATGGTCCATTTCCAATGTCAAAGCAGAAACAACCAAATATCCATATATATATATATATTTAATATATATATATATGTGGCTCCCTGGGTTAGAGTCCACAAAGGTAGAGGAATCCGGTCCCAAACCAGATTGTGGGTTTTGGGGTCCACCCCAAAAGACAAGAAAATACCCCAAAATGGGCTCCAGCAGACCCCCTGGGCCTATTGTTGTTACACTTCTCGATTTGGGCTGTCCGCAGCAGCGGCCACGCTTTTTCGCACCTGTGCGGCCTTGAGCCACGATCCATGTTCGGAGAACGGTCGATGGTTGACCTGGCAATATCGGATGCATGCACGGTTGTCTGACAGGTTGAAGGTACATCCAAGGTTAACACCGGTTGAATTGCAAATTCACACTGGTCTATTTTTCTTTTGGATGTACACTGGGTGGATCACCCTTTCCAAGTGCTGCTTCAGGCAAGGATACCCATTTGGCTGCTATTTTACGGTGGGTATTATTTTGCAACATCATGTTTTCATCAAAGATCCTGAACTTGCCCAAACGGAGCACTGTTCGGAGGAAATGCGATTCCATGGGTTTTGTCAAACAGTCTGCCAGCATTATTGCTGTCGAGATCCAACGACACTGGGAGTGTCCCGCGGCTTGTTGCTTAATTAACATCACTTCAACTGTAGTTCGCCACTCTTCACAGTTAGGAACCGCTAACTTCGTTGTTAGGTCATAAAGGCTTTTGCAGTCGGTGATGAGGAGAGCTTTGGGACCTTCCTGCAAGGAACTCTCAGGGTATTGCCACTTGAAACTTGGACTAAGGATATAACCCCACAAACACCTCAGCCATGTAAGTTTGTCGAGAGAGGAACTCATTGCATATGCCTCAGCACTAAGCGTTGATCTTACCACTCTTCCTATCTGTTTGGAGTTCCAAGACATTGGACTGATCTCGGAAGTTCGGTTGGCAGCTAACTCCGGAGTACACGCAACTATAAACAACCCTTGTTGGGCTTTGAGTTGAGAGGCTGAGGCGAAACTGGCATCGCCGAAACTCGCAAAAGTCACTTGGCTCAGCGGGAGAGGCCTCACCATAATGGAGGTATCCGCCGTCTGTTGTGCTTCAGCTAAGACTCGATTGGCCTCCAGCAACGTTGAAACAGTCGCGCTACAAATGTTCTTCTGAATGAACGCCACCTTGGCTGCCATATCTGGTCGACTATGAACTGCTGCATATTGCAAACTTCCGCATAAGGCTCGGAGGTCATGCACTTCTGACGCTAGCGCGTTGGACCCCTTTTCTGACCTGCGTGATTTGGGTATCTGAATAGGTTCAATCTTGTTGATGTATTCTTCTTGGCTAATCTTGATTGAATTATCAGGCAGCTGTTCAATGTCCAAACCAGTAAAACGAAACTTTCGATATTCCCTCTGTCCAAAAGGAAGTACCTTCTGCAGTTCTTTGAGTGCATTTTCATAGTTTTCGTTTCCACCTCCCAAACCATCATCTACATGTGTACCCAACACTCCATCTAGGACTTCTGGATTCTTTTTGTTACGCAAGAGAAATAGGCAATTGTCAAGTGGATGTGCTTCGAAACCAACCTTCTCCAACTGTCGACGGAATTCTTTGTAGAAAAGCAATGGTGCATCAACTCTTCCATAGGCGTTTCCTTCTAACAGCAGGACTTCATCGCCAGACAAATTCAAAAGTTGTTTCAATTCTGCAACTGGTTCCATCGCCAATTGTCTCCCGTCAGACTTGCCCCTTAAGAATGCAGTTGTAATGTCAAAGTTCTGCACTGTCCATCCCGAAGAGGATATCACTTGCAGCAACAGCATCCTTGCATCTCGAGACAATGTCGGGGATTCAGTACTTACCTGGTCCAGTTCTGGATCCTGATATCCTCTTACCACAAGTCGGGCTTTGGCCTTGCGACCATTTGGGAGTGTTGCATCGGTTTTCCATGTGAGGATCCATCGGCTTGTCATGATCCTGTTTGGGGATATCTTATGCCTCAGTATTTTCCTGACTGCACTTGTTTCCAACCAACAGCTCAGTTCTTTGGCTTTAGCTTGTTTGAAAAGTTCTTTCTCTCCATCATTCAAAGTGGCATACCTGACTTCAGACCGGGCTCTCCTCGCGGCTGTTGCCAAAAGCGAGGTGTGAATTTTTGGGTCTTGCAAAAACCTTTGAACCTGTTGCTGGGGAACATCGAATTCATACTCGCAGTATGGTCGCCTGTCCTCTTCAGCTTCACTCCAAAGTGTGTCTTCGTCACTTCGGATGGCAGGTCCGGGAACGTTGGCTTCAGTGAAGAAGGCATTGTACACGACATTGCTATCTTCTACACTATCATTCCCCATTAGGTTCACCCCGGTATCATTATCCCCAATACCACTATTGTTGTCTTCCCCAAAAGGCGTTCCTGGTGCATAGCTACTCGGTGACTTGATACTTTCATCTTCAGCTTCCCATGCTTTCTCAGAAATATCGGGGATGGCTATTTCTTCAGGATTGATTTCTGGAACCGGTTCATGGGAAGGTCTTCGAGTAGGTTCTTCTTCGGGCTGATTGTGAGTGACTACTGCTTCTGTTGTTTCATGTTCGGGAGGAATTTCACTAAGGTCGGAAAATTGGAACATACCACTTTTCTCATGTAAGCGCCTCCTCAGTTGTGAAGCCATCTGTTGTGCCCTTTGTGTATCAATCTGTTGATTGAAAGATGCATGGCGTTCAAACTCGCGCAAACTGACAGGTCGGAGATTGTCTCTGGCGCACCTGAGGATTCTATTCATGTGAGTGATCCAAACTATGGTTTTTGACTCAACCAAAACAACCTGTGCCGGGCCACACCATCTCCCTTTTTCTAACATGTTTGCGGATTTCCTTTTGTCCCAAAACATGCATGGTTGTCCACATGACCATTCTGTGATTTCTCCTCTTGACTTTCGGAGTAAGGCTTTGCGAATGGCTTGACTGTTATCACTATCGATAAAGGCTTTTCTGGCAAGAACCCTCAACTCAAGTGCTGCACGGAAACGGTCCGCATCTGGGCCATCGTTCATGGCTGCATGCAAATGGGCTGGATTGCCCTCATCGCTGATGATTGAAGCTGGAAGGCGAGTAGCTTTACCAAGGACAGCTTGTTCAGGACTATACCCTCCTACTGATGCAAGGGAATTTTTGGCACGGAAAACTTGGGCTAGGGCCCTTTCGAACTCTTTCTCATTGCGGATTGGTTGAGCTTGGTCTATTCTATGGAGCATTTCTTTTACAATACCTCCATGTCTCTCAATCCTACCTCTCTGCCATGGTCCTGCTGTCAGTATCGGAGTTATGCCTTCACGCTGAAGAAACTCTTTCCAAGGGTCAGCTACAAATTCACCTCCGCAGTCCATCACGATTTCGCCGGGTGACCCGGCCCAATTGTTCCAGCAATCTTCAAACACCTTTTGAGCTTGTATTCCATCTCGAACAGTGCGACGTCCCAGATGAAATTGGGTTGCTTCATCGATGATGTGAACGACATAGCCCTGATCCATGTTCCCCTTTCCAATCAAACCCATCTATATAAATGCGTTGATTGAAGTCACGTGCCTCCTTCAGGGTACCTGTGGGATTCAGTCGTGGTGGGCGTCGTTCAGCACACGGTGCACAGAGATAGTCTAGAGCTCCCTGAACTAAGAGCTCTTCGGCTCCGAGGTCAGCCAGGTGTTTGGAAAGGCGTTCAGCTGTCGGATGTCCAAGGTTGTGGTGCAATTTACGGATGTATGACTTCCTTTGTTCCGACAACTTCAAATACCTTGGACCTGACACTGAAACCGCTGCTGACGTCCATGAATTGGCAGGCAACTGAACATCGGACACGCTGTCTGCGAACATCTTCCCGTTGGATGGGACCATCGCAGATGGCTCTTGCAGTTCGGCACTAGGAACTCGGCTGGAGTTCTCCTCGGCATTTGTCTCATGAGTTTGGCTATCATTCGACTCTATTGCTTCACTTGGTCTACCAAACACGCAAACCATGATGTGAGCGGATATTTCAGCTTTGCGGCTCTGTTGGTTCTTGGACATCTCTTGAAGGTCTTCAGTTCCTAGGTCAAAAACTTCATATGCAAGCCTGCTCAAGATTATGGTTCGTCGGAAAGGCAATTGGTCAGGATGAACCACATATTTTTCACGCCCTTTTCCTGCCATTACGGACTGAACTTGCATCTCAGGACATAGTTTCTGAATAGCCTGAACTTCGCTATTTTGGTTCCCCTCCCATCTTACTACCCCTGATTTAGGTAACTCTTTTCGGTACCTATTCATGAGCTCTTTCCATTGAGGGTCATCAATCTTCTGTTGTTCATTGAGTTCAAGGGGTCTTTTGCGGTTGTTTTTCTTGGTGTTTTCATCGGTTGTTTTCTTCATGCGTTTGGGAGAACTCTCGAGCAACTTGTCGGCATCATCCAGTGAGCGGACTGGGAGGCATTCCTGGTCGATCATAAATATCGGGGCAACAACATGTGAATGCTTCGGTCGCATGATCACTTCAGCCAGTTTCTTCGCAAGAACCCTTGGGTAAAAGGCAGCAAAACGTGACACCTGTATGTTCTGGCCCTTATAGGAACAGTTTCCAGCAATTGGGACATGTTCATGGTCATGCTGACAGAAACGACTGTCCATGCTTTGGAACATTTCTTCTGAGGACGTTTGAACACGCGTTCTCTTTTGCATGGGTTCTTGGAGACACGGATGCTTGAGACCAAAGCGACACTGGTCGAAATATGCTGGCTTTGTGCTACTGCATATCTCCTGCATTTCATTCTGATGCCACATACCTGAGGGTCCAGGGTTTTCCAAGTGAAAGTGATCACCGCGATCCAATTGTATTTTGCAAACCAGGGAACAAAAGGTGAGCTGTTCCCGGGACCTCTCTTGGTTGTCTTGGATGCGGCAAAAGGATGATACGCCCCTCATTTGATTGAAACGATTCCAAGGACACCATGGGGCACATTCTGGAGCCATCCACACATGCTTGGGTTTCCAAAGAAAAACCTTCTTCAACAGCTTCAATTGACCCTCAAAAGTTCTTAAATCTCCATCTTCCATGGTAAATCGTTTGGCCGTTCCCCCACGTTTATTCACTTCATCAGTTAGTTTGCTCTGAGGGCTTGCATACACTTCCAAAAGATCAATCTGTTTGGTATTTCCTTTGGGCATGTGATGGCGACAACTCTTCATGAGTTTCATTTCGTAGGCATCCTCCAGAAATAGTATTTGCTCCAATGGCCGGGACTCTATCGGAGATTTCTCACTGCCTGGCTTTCCATGTCTTCTCGAGCTCGGCAGTAGGTGATGAAGTCCTGCATGGCCGGTGTCGCATTCTTTGCCCTTGCTGTGATCCAGTCGACATAGCTGTTGTTTTCCTCGTAAACCTCCGCGAATCTCTTCCCATTGTGCGTCTTTCCCCACGAGATTCTCTTGTTCCCCCAACTCTCCACTGCCTGAGCCGTCAACGCCAGCTGGTTCTCGTTGGTCTGCACCGGAACCGGCAGGGGAACTTGATTCCGGTGTGTCACATTGGTTGGCATCACCCTTGGGGCAGTCCTCTTTGAGGGAATTGTCATTGACGCCATCAGTTCCTCTTCCTCCAGCTCCCATGAGAAATCCGAGAGGTCTCCAGGCTCTGACGGCTTTGGCCCACCGTTTCCCCGAGACTTGCGAGGGGACTTGATTGCTTTGAGAGCCTCGGCGAGTTCTTCGATCTTTTCCTTCTGGTTGCACACATGTTCCAGAAGGGACTGCAGTGAGTTGGCATGGTGGTCTGAGATCTCTTGGTCCGGGGCTTTCACTTCGATCTGGTTCATCAGGATGATGAGCAGCATCCGAAGTGATTCCATCACTGCTTCGGCCGTGGTCTTGATCAGCCGCATTGCGTCCCTCTGAGTCAGCATGGTCGGCAGGCTCGGGAGAAAACAAACCAGGCGGTGGGCAGATGTTGGGCACTTGGACGGCTTTGGAAGTTTCTACATTCATGGCTGTTTCGCAAGGATCGACACAAAGCTCTGACATTCGTATGACATACAATCCATTCTCACTTTCTTGCAAATTCAACTCTCTATTGATTTTGCTAAGAAAACATTGATTTGTTGACAGATTGATCATGGCACCTAAGGCTTTCAGGGCTTGTATGGAAATCAAGAAAGGTGTGGCATGTGGTACAACCTCTATGACAATCCATATTCGACGTTTCCCGATGAGGATGGGAATGCGAACCTGTTCGAAACTGTAGGTTATTTGATTGTTGCCAAACCTGAAACCAACTCGACTTGGGACCTCTTTCACCTGGTGCCTGACTTCGGAAGGCAGACTTTTCAACACTCCAGGCCACAGTTCGGCTCCAATGACACTTCGGCTGGCACCAGTGTCCAGGATGGCAAGCCCTTCTTGGGCAATCCGACTCAGGTCAGGTCGGCTGTGATAGCATTCAACGGCCGTTGGCATCGCTGGTTTCCTGGAGTGCAGTCGTGGGCCAAGGAATTTCTGGACTTCAGGGATTAAGTGTTGCATGCTGAAAGCAACTTCCGTGGGTGGGTCATACATTATGGGCTTATGGGACTTATCGGAAGACGACATTGGACGACTGACGGCAGACATGGCACGAATGCATCCCTCGGCTGCATGTTTGGCTGCATTACCTACCCGTCTTATTATTCCCAACATTATCCCATTCCATGTTACCTCATTTTTACCCCTTTGATTATTCCCTCTTGGCACATGGTCACGTTCTTCTGAACCGGCCTCATCTGCATCTTCAAAAATCACTTGAGCAGGTCCATCTTCGCGGTCGATCACCTGAAAGCTCTGGTGAATCACATAGTTTACACTGTCGGTGGATGCCCCTGCTTTGTTCGGGCATTCCGCTTTCCAGTGGCCCTTCTCGCCGCATGCTTTACAGAACGTTCTTGCGACCCTCTGGAGAAGATTGCCTTTGCCCGACCCCTTTCGAGGTTGAAACTTGCCGGCACCCTTCATTTTGCCCTTTCCAGTCGACGGCCAAAACCCCCTGGAGCGTTTTCTCTCCAATATCTTGGTCCGGGCCTCTTGGTAGTTCACTAGTGCTTGATGCAAGTCCGGCACTTCTTGGAACATCTCTTCCAGGTCACGTTCGAATGCGACGACATTGAGGGCGTCAGAGTCACCCTGTGCAGCCAAATGCTCCACCAACTCCTGATCCACCTCGTCGTCTTCAGTGTAGTAGTTGTTCATTCCGGCTCCTGATGAGCCATCTTGGTCAGTGGCAACGAACCCAACCTCCGGTTCAACGAAGTTGGTCGGGTAGACTTTCTTGCGGTTTTCTCCTGAGGACAGGATATTGGTGGCCAATGTCCTCATCGATTGCTCAATCTTCTTGGTGTCCATATCTCCATTGGTCATTGTAAGGACTCGTTTCTTGTCCTCTGGACTCAAAACGCTTTGCCTCAAAAGGAGGAAAGCATGGAACTCCTTCAGGCTCTTGGCACCAAGCTCATCCATAGCCACCTGCAGTCGATTCACGTAGCTCATGCTACTTTCATCGGACTTTTGTACGGTGCGGTAGACTGCTTTCTCGAACTGTTCATATGTTTTCATCTCAGTGGACTCTTCCCATGACGATAGCGCCGCTAGAAGACTTTTGACACCATTCTCTGGATCGGTCAAGGCACTTGATTCAAGGCTTTTCACCTGTCCCCAGGCTGTCCCTCGGCACAGCATGGCCAATCTCGGAGCAAGCATCGGTCGATCCTTCTTTGGGCATATGCTATCTATGAATTTCACCTTCTCAATATACTCCTTCACATTGTCAACAGCAGGATCGAAGGTTGGTAAGAGGGTCCAAATGTGACTCCCCTTGTCCTCCGAAATTTCCGCTGTCGCTGACATGGCGGCGCCCCAGGCTTTCCACGGGTTCCGTGGGCCCTCCGGGCTCCGCTACCAATGTGGCTCCCTGGGTTAGAGTCCACAAAGGTAGAGGAATCCGGTTCCAAACCAGATTGTGGGTTTTGGGGTCCACCCCAAAAGACAAGAAAATACCCCAAAATGGGCTCCAGCAGACCCCCTGGGCCTATTGTTGTTACACTTCTCGATTTGGGCTGTCCGCAGCAGCGGCCACGCTTTTTCGCACCTGTGCGGCCTTGAGCCACGATCCATGTTCGGAGAACGGTCGATGGTTGACCTGGCAATATCGGATGCATGCACGGTTGTCTGACAGGTTGAAGGTACATCCAAGGTTAACACCGGTTGAATTGCAAATTCACATATATATACATATATATATAAATATAATTCCATCAGCTCGGTGGGGTGATTGACACGTGGCTTGCACTCTCTGTGATGTGCAGATTGCAAGAGTCGCAACCTGGAATTCTGAAACATCCCGAGTGGCTCACATTGCACGAGTGTCTACCAGAAAATCAAGGAAGGCTGGCTCACTGGCTCAATAGGGGTATGGGTCAAAAATGATCAATCGCCCGGAATGAGTTAATGCCAAAACAAAACATGCTGTGGGTCCATTGGTTCCCAATTTTGACTCATATCCATATGGGTGTAGGGCGCGATGAATCCCCAATTGGCGCCTTTTCTGATTCTTTTCACGGCATGGCTTGCTCATTCACATTACCATTGTTGGGTTGTACAAACCCAAATCCCAGCGAAATCTCGATCTTCGCAAAATCCCGTTGAAACCGCAACTGGCTGTTCTTGGCTGTATCATGTATCACATATTTTTATACCATGATATATCATGTGCATCCCATTTATATATTGCTGGCTGCCCCTTTCCCATACCAAGCAGCAAAGTTTTCATCAACGGCACCTTCTCAGTCGCACCATCTTTCGCGCGCGCCGGTGGCGCAAAGCGCGAGGAACTTGGCCGTCGAGCCAAGTCAAGCTGCGGTGATCAAGCGACAGTGAACTGCAAGCTGTTTTTACTCTTTTTTGGAAAATAAAACTAATGAATGGTATGGATCATTATAGGTGAACAGCCCGAACAGCCCGAAACACAACAGAACAACTGGATTAATATTGATTGATTTGTGGATGCCTATCAACCAGCTTTGGGGTGTTGCATTTGGATCCACTGTCATTTCACACACTGAAGTGTAGGCTAATCATTGGTATGAGGGGGACAGAAATTGTGAAGGTGTAAACATCATCGGCAAAGAGAAGAATCAGAAGAATCGGTGATAGAGGGTTAAGTCTTAAGAGCAGGAGCATCAAAATGGGACAGACCAAGACTTGTCTGTCAGACTTTCCGCCAACAATACTGCAGCGACGAAAGGGGTTCGTATGGGTTCGGTCATGCTTGTTCAATCATTGGTGATTTCTCACACCTAGGGGTACCAGTTCCCAAGTTTGAGCTAGTGATTTGACGATTGGATTGGCGAGCTCCCCAAGTAAGCTTACCAGATGGAGGCAGCACCATCGAAATTCCCCCAACCAAGCAAATAGATTGTCTGAGCCATACCAATGTGAAACAATCAGTATGAAAAGATGCCAACACTAGTTGCACTAGGAATGAGAGTCTATGATATGCTCATACTTCTCCGTACTTCCTGACAGACAATAAAGGACTGTTCCTATACCCAAAGTAGCAAGCTTAAGTTCAGGAGCGGTTACTGAGTATTCTGTGGAAAGACCCTAGATGACACTGTGAACCAAAATCAAACAATCTGTTTTGCTCAATCCTTGGGCAGCCAAGCCTCCACCATAATCCAATCACTATGGCCTCTGGGGCAAGCCTGCTGGAAATCTACAATCTACGAATCTATGTGCCCAATCCAATGCTGAAGGAATGTGGAGGCCAGGGGCACGCCCACTTTTCTCCAGCATCAGCATCCACTCCAGCTCAGGGGTTGCGCATAGGCGTAGACTTAGTCGCCCGGGATCATGCACCAGGATGATCTGCGAGGTTACCAGTATGATCTGAAGTCTGAAGTCTGAAGGTGAAAACTTGCGCATTTCTATACCAATTCAAATGGTGAACCCAGTGTCATTCCAATGACGGTTTCTTTGGGGAGACATGTCCCATATTTCATGTTATCATATTATATCTCTCGGTTGAGCTCGGGACCAAATTGACAAAGGTGGCGGAAGTGGAGAAGTATTTCTCGCCTTGGATCCCAACTCAGCACAGGAATGCGGCTTCGTTCAAACTGGACAGTACGATGGTATACAGTACCCCAGGTATACCCCAGGTATATGTTTCCCCAATGGAACCACTTTTGGGGCGTTCTTCTGGAAATTGTTGTTTCATTATCCTATGGTCTACATCCAAAAAATCTATGAGTCACGGAGTCACGGGGGATTACCATCCCCAAATCATGCAAGAATTCATCAGGATCTGACCCCACCAATTAGTTTCAGGCCAATTTCCCTCAGATTTTACCTGGGCCTCCAAACCAACGTCCGGAGCCTTGCGCTGAGCACTTGGGTTCGCCTGTGCTATCGCTGAGGGGTTCAACTGGGAAGCAACTGAAATTGGGCATCGGGGTACAGCTCGGATGGTGTTGGACTCGGGACTGAAGTGTTTGGCCATCCCAGCCAAACAGACATCTCATCTCTCATTTTTCGTTGGAAAAGAAATGGGTTCTATATACCCAAATGACAACTTTAACGGGAAAATGATGATACGTAAGCTGATTGGTGGTTTCAACCCATCCGAAAAACCTTCTATCGCCACTGGGGATCATCATCTCAAACCAGATTGGTTTTGGGTGTGATACCGTGTACCCTCTGGTCATCAAACATGGCAATGGAAAATCACCGATTTATAGATGATTTACCCATATTTTCCCACTTAAGTGTCCATTTAGTTGGGGATTTCCAACCACCTTTGCTTACCAGAAGGCAATTATCATAGTTTTGCCTATCCGTTTTCATTTTTATCATCATGCCCTACATTTCTCAAAGTTTTCCTTAGCTCGCTTCCCAGGTGCAGGCGTACCAGCTCGATACCCTGCACAGGTGTGAAGGCCAAAGAACTGCTGAGACCACTCTCGTTTCCTGGCAGATGGCTGTGCTAAACGACATGGCCACTTTGTTTCCAGTTGATTGCTGCGTGATTTGACGTTTATGCCGAAGTGTTTTAAGTGTTTTCACCAATGTGACCTGGGCCTCGAGGGGACACTAGGACACTATACAATAAGTGGTGCCGCGGGGCCGCACCCTGTGGTCTCTATAACTCTCTCTCTCTCTCTCTCTCTCTCTGGTGCTGGATTTCTAGTAAAAGTAGGTTCCTGTAAATTGTAAATTGTCCAATTCTGGAACTCATGAATTTCTCAGTTTCCCCCGATTAGTTCACAAATATACCGTTGGAAATTTCCCGGTCACCTAACCCCTGAAGATGGCAAAAACATGCGAAAACCATGGTTTCCTTAAACCAACCCAGTGAGGCTCGGGTCGTGGGATGTTGTGGTATGAGTATAATATATAGTAGGAACTAATAACATCAGTAAACCGATACTACCTCTGCTGCCAAAGTTGAGGTTTTTATAGGTTTTTTACTTTTTTTTCATTTTCGAGTAGGTATCTGGCAGCCCTCATGTGTGGAAGCAAGCACATCTGCATACCCAAATCCTCAGGTTTTCTCGCTCAAATTTAAAGCTCTCTTGAGCTGTTTTCATTCAATCCCAATTAAATCCAATTAACACTGTCCCGAATCGGTGTAGGTCATTTTTTCAAGCACAGAAAACCACAAATGTTTGCAATGGTAAAGTGGTACCCTTCCATCCCCGTTTTGTATGGTATGGGTCCCACCATAGGATTTTGCAGCAAAAAAAAACTAACTCATCATCTCAGTCATAAAAAGAAACAAGGTGATGCTTGAAATCCTCGAATTCCCATGGTTTTTAGGACTGCAGGGGCTCAAAAAAAAAAACAACACGTCACTAATCTTTCACCACGCTGCCTGCCGAGGCGGCCGCGCGCTGACGCTTCTGAGCCTGTTCGATGAGAAGTCCCCATGGAAAAATTGTTATTTTCCATGGCAAAGTGTGAAAAACTACAGATATTTCCTTGATCAATTTCTGGAACGGTTTTTGTTGCCTTCTAAAAGATTCCAAAAATGGATGTTGCTGCTTCTTTACACGATTCCTTAGTGAGGTTCCCAATGCAAAATGATTGCAAAATGGATGAGTTTTGTCATTTTTTTCAAGATTCCCGAAAGGGTTTATCAAACATGAAACGGATGATTAAGTTTGTAGTACTAAAACTAAAACTCTTATCCGTTTTATCGTGTTCCAAAAAGGTGTCCAAACCAAACTGGGTAAGGATCCAAATCCCATTAGCTTCAGTTCACATCAAAATAGCTGGATGATACAGGAAATATTGCTGAATGTTGATCCCGCTGACGCCAACCCATGGGTGCAATGAAATGTTTCAACCAGCCATCAAACAACCATAGCCTCAGTAACAAATCACGAAATCTGTGCCACGGTCCCTGCTGCAGAGGGGGGACTCCAGTCACTACAAGTCGCAGAAGTTTACCATGAAACCGCGGGCATCAAGCCCCAAAGTCGCTACATGCCGCTACACCGGGAGGATGTGGGTATGGGATTGCTCAAGTCGTTAGGTACTACCTCAATATGGATGGTAAACAGTTTAAACATTGCAACAAACTCCCACAATCTGCATCTGCGGGTCCAAGGTGTGCTTAAATTCTGACCCACTGACATACAGTTTGGTCTGAAAGTCACCCTAAAATGGATGATTGATCACGATTGATCATAAAGAGGTTTCCAATCCATGGGGGTACCCTCAGTTAGCATCCTTTTTTTATAAAAGGATGTCCCATGATTTTCCTTCCATTGCCATATGTCCTCCCATATCGCATGGCCTGGATATGCCTCTGCAGTTGCTTTTCCTTGGACACCTGGCCATGACACAACCTAACCACTACTGTAGTAGGGTCGTCTTCGTCATCATATTCATCTTCATCTTCATTTTGTTTCATCTTCATATTCATCTTCATCTTCGTCATCATCATGCAGCTTCTGATGCATTCTGATAGCTTCTGATGGTTTCTGAAAGTTTCTGATGGTGTCTGATGTCATGTTTAAACATGTGTCACTCCTTCACCTTGGTCCAAGTTTTCGCTTGATTTCCTAACTCTAAGACGTCCGAGTTGGAGGTTGCGCATGCATGTCACCTTTGAGACATGAAACCCTTGGCGCAACCACTTGTGCTGACTCATTTGCAGCTCAGTCAGCAGACAGTAACAACATGTAACAACGTAGCAGAGAGTAAGTCCTGCCAAGGCCAAAGCCTCTGAAAATTCTTCAGGATTCCACTCTGTTTCAGTCACTCCTTCAATGATGTGCCCCTACCAGTTCTACCCGTCATACCCATCTGGGGTTACAACATGTTACAACTATCATCCCTAGGGTACTTTTGTATTGACTTACTCTCGAAGCTCAGTCGAACGCACGCTCGAACATCAAGAGGTGGGCTTGTACATACCGTGGGATGCCGCCAAGTGCGGCAATCTTCACGATGGCGTGTGGAAAACAGCTGCATGCCGGGATAAAACCCCAGGGCCCCAAGTGTTTGCACACCTGATCTTCACCAGGACAAGAGAGCCACAATGAAGCTTGTCGACTTTGAGAATAAAACTGAAGCCCTGAAACTCTCAATTAGACAGCATGCTGCAGGATCGTGATGAAGATGAAAAGCGTGTGCCTTGTTCTAGTTGCTCCAACAAAATAACAACCTCCAACTCGTATCTTCACTACAACCCCAAACAGTTTCCCCCCAAAAGGGGTCTGTCTATGTATGTCTGACATGCTGTTCCTGACTTCTTGGCAAACTCTTTGGCGCAGCAAACTCTCCGGCTTGGCCGGAGAGCAGGTACACAAGCGAAACCGCCGGACTGATTGAGCAAAATCCAATCCGATTGGACCCTCCATATCATTCCATATCCCCTTTGTTGCAGTTTCATGGTCACATCAATTCACGTGTTCAAATGGATTTTCTTGGAAAGTTCTTGGTCTCTGCTGGGATCCACTGGGTCTGATGCTCAGGCGTAGTCTTTGGGAGCAGGAGTGCTTGGAAAAGTGCTGGTCGATTCCTCAGGATGCGCAGGGTGGGTGCCAGGGGACCCACAGGGGTTTCCACAGTTGATTTGGGTATGTGGTAAAGCAAAAGCCATGCTCAATCTAGCCAATTTTAGGATTTATAGGCTATAGGGATATTAAAAATGATAGCCCAAATAGGGGCTGATGATTGTGTTGTGTTTACCACATTGCTTCAGAAAATTGGATGCTTAGTACCCAAACTGACCAAAATCTGCTCATTTCAGCGCCGTCTGGTGGTGAAAGGATCTTCCTTTCCAGATCTATTTATTGGAGAGCCCGCACTGATTTTCAGCTATCGGTATGTCACTTTGATTTGGGTGAGATTAAGTAAACCAAAATAAATTTCTCGGGTTTTCCTTCAGGCTTCACAACTTGCGCCTGCACTCCATCAACCTTTGGCTCAAAAACAGTCATGAAGGTGACAGAAAATGCATGTGGTTTGCCAGACCTGAGGGACCCTCAAACCTCTGGCGAATCGATGATCAATCACAAATCACTCACAAAAGCTGATTCTCCACTTTCATAGATTTCTTCATGATGGTTTCATGATGGTTTCATGATGGTTTGGCTGATTCTCCCATAGTTCTTCCATGTTCTTCCTATGGTTTAGCGGTTTCCCGTGGTTTGTCATGGCGGTTTCCCATGGTTTCCACCAGGAGGCTGTGGCACTGTCCACGTTTTGGGGCAACCTGCGAAGGGGTCAACTGGGATTCTTCATGTTAGATGAAAAGAATAAAAAAGAAAATGGTGATCATATGTGATAATGCTAATGATGGTGATAATATGTGATAATAGCAGTAATAATACTAATAGTATGTAGTGGTAATAGTTAGTAATAGTTATATATAGCAAATTAAAACTGGAACATGTTGCTTCCTGGTTTGAGACTCAAAGGGCAAATGGCTTGATTGGGCATGAATTGAACTGGTGAACAGTTCGTTCATCATTCACTACTGCAATCCTCACATCTTCATACATATTCCTGTGGTTACTCATCAGGAAGCCAATTGGTACCTGTGGTCAGGCTTGGTCGAAGGAAAGGCTCAAGCCGAAATAAAACATCTATGACAAGTCGGTGGCATCGAATCCAAAAAAAAAGCATCTCAAAAATCCATTCAATTTGATCAACATTCTCATCTGCCGGGCCCGCAGCCATTTTTCCGGCCTGACATGTGGAAACCTCTGGCGGAACCATTCCATCTCCTTCTCATCGCCGACCTTGGAGAGCCACAAAGCCACGTCCTGTATCATCAAACATAGCACCATTGAAAATCCCTCACAATGGAGGCTTTAATGGGAAAATCATCCATGAACGGGGGATTGTCCATTGCCATGTTTGATTGCGGACTATGTAATAGATTGTAATAGTATTGTGTTGACTTTGCTAGAATGCCCGCGAACTACGGCATTTCGGGCAAACATATCCCCATCTTCAACGATTCATATCCCAATTTTGGTCAGTTCAGTTGGGATGCCTTAAAACCATCTGAAACAAATAGACTTCTTGGAGAAATGGCATATCTTCTGTTTGCTTGCACAGGAGATCACAGGAGTACTGTAACCTTCCCAGAAACATGACATTTTGGGGGCACTATTCTCCACGCTTTTGGCCATCAAATCCCAAAATTTTCTTTGGTTTCATCCCAAATTTTGGGACTATGTCTGTTGTTGCTGGTAGTAATCCCCAAAATATGGGTTTTCAGGCAAAAATAGGGTACCCCAAAATGTCCTGGTTCATAGTAATTTCCCCAATTCAATGGCCATTTGAAGGGTATGCGCCTACGCCCTTTGTCAGACACATCCAAATATCCCCATGATATCCCCACTAAGTCCTTATAAAACCCCTGTAAAATCACCAGAAGTTCATCAGTTCATCTGCATTTCTATTGAAAAACAATTTCCCCGTCCTCCAAATGCTCCTCCGGCCCTTCACGCAACTTCGGGATCGACCTCGAGGCAGCGTCAACTTGGGTCCCAACAGATTGGGGACCCAATGACTTCACCAAACCCGGAAGGTGATGGCAAAATATGGCGAATCTCAGACGTGCAAAGCATCAAGATGGGCTTCTGTGTGCAAAAATGAACCATGTTTGGTGGATCAGGGATTCCAAACTTTGACAGAGATGTGGACAAGTGTTCCAAGCCATCTTGCTCGTTCCGCCCTCGAAGTTCTCTTGATCTCTGCGGAACTTTCGCTCCAGAATTATGCGACCCCAAATCCATCGGAGCTCACCAGAAATCCGGCCAATGTTCATCAAAATTGGTGGTTTGAGACAAATCAAGATCTGGACAAAGTAGAGGACAATTAATATGTGTATATATATATGTACATATATATAATTATATATATATGTATATACATGCATATAGTCATTCCAGTATCTTGCTGTCTTTTCATCAACTTCTGATAGCCGCACCTATCAATGACACGTTCGATGAAGCGCTGGGCCACTCCGCTCCAAAGCCGTGCTCCACGGAAATCCTTACAGCCAAGGCGAGAATCTTGGCTACTCATGGGTATATAAATGTGTACACAGTAACCAACAATAAGAAAGGCAGTTTTAATCACCAAACATCGGGAAAAAATTGGGAATATCGATATCAGTACAACCGTCATCCCGTTATAATGTTTATACTGGTTGGCAATCAAAAACCCTTACATGGACAAAGGAACGACTCCCATATAATAATCGAGATAGTAAGTATAACACCCCATAAGAACCAACTGAAAAGGATATTTTACATGGTCGCCAAAACATTGGAAAATCATGGGAAATCGGGCATGAATATGAGGTTGAATCACCAACGCATTGGGATGTTATATCAACCGCTGTATATTATAGTATGATCGATCAACCTGTAAAAAAAATACACAAATGCCTTGCTGAGCCCGAACTTTGGCTAAACCAAACCCTTCACCTAGACCTAGCCAACTTCAAGACTTGCCCAGATAATCAAAAAAAGACATGTTTTTCGAATGAACATTTGAATCAAGTTGGCGGTTGGCGCATCATTATTGAAGTATTGAACATACAGTACTGCAGGTACTGCATTATCAACCTGGCAGATGTTTTGTAGCAAACTCAAAAAAGATGGAGAAACAAAAACAACTTTAGGATTCTAGTAGGAATTTTAGTAGGCTTTTAGTAGGATGTAGCAAACCCCAAAGTGATTTTACTGTTCTATCCATTTGGGGCTTCTGGCTCCAAGCATCGGGATGGCCCTCGGTGAGCATGCCTCGCAACTTTTTGCACATGTCCTGCAAAGAAGCTGCCGATAAAAATTCACTGGCCCTTCAAACCAGCCATCCAATTTCTGGTATCCATCAATTGACCCATGGGTTTGACATATGATTAATATGTCAATATATGTCAATTATGCTTTGCAACCAGGGGTCTTGCAAGTCTTGACAAAAAAGTGCGATGTGTTTCTGGAAACTGTGTCATTCCTAACATCAGTGGTAGTGGCAGGCACTGCCTATGCTACGCAGTGATGCCAACGTGTAAATGAGTCTCTCATGAGCTGTTATTTAACTTTTTATTGTTTTTGGATGTTTTGGGGGTCAGAAAGCTGCAAGTCTAGGCAAGTCTGTTTTCAGGATGTTCGAAGCAGTACCTACAATCTCCTTGAAATTTGACTGACACGCAAGAACTGTCACATTCTCCAAGCCCCCAACCCCAACCGTCATACATCGGCTCCTCAACAAAGACATCCTGCTCTTTGGCGCCAGTTTCGATCCTCAGGTTTTATCAAGTTACCAAGATTTACCAAGTAAACACCACCGGAGACGGCTGTGGCATCGGGATACCTGGGGCATCCTGGGCATAGTGGATATAACGGTTCCACTTCCAGGTAGGGATCTAAGTATGCTGATCTTGGCCCTCGCGTTCCTCCACAACAGGAGTGAAGGAAAACTAAAAAAATGAAGTTGAGTGCGTTTTAACTAACTCTACAGTATTAGAAAAAACTGGTGGAACTTTAAAAAAACACTATTTCATGGCATATTTGTCGCAATCTGAAAGTCCCCTGCCATCTCCAGCCCCAGAATCATGATCTGGACCTGCTCGGGTGAATATTTCAATCGCTTCATCACCGGATGCCTTGGGATGCCCATGGGGCCCATGGCCGTGGTTTCGATGGAGGCAGATAAAGTCTGAAAAGTTTTGGAAACATGTTCGAAAGGTTAAGAGTTGGAGCAGATGGACTTCCCGACTTCCCGACTTCCCGACTTCCCTGGCCTATGGATGAGGACCATGGAAAGGTCCATGGTGACGGCTCCAAGTGCAAAGCAAATCCCTGCAACGAGCCATGCAATGTTCATTCGATTGCGGTCCTGGCCATCTGGCGATTTCTGGATCTGGATTCTACACGGCAGATGCTGAAGTTGAAATGCTGTTGCATTCACCTCAACTCGGGGAAAATGTGTTTTCTATATAGACGGCAAAAGTGTTTGTTTTAAGTCAGAAAAAGTCTGGAAACCAAATTTGCTTCACTCTTCATCTTTCACCATGTCTTACTAAATACAAACAGCTTGCAAACATAAAATCTGACACCCAAACGAAGCTCATCTCTTGCATCCACCATGTCTCCACCACCCAACTCTCCCAATCCTGACTATCACCCACAATGGCGCCAAAGATTGGCTGGCCAACCACCTGGCGATCTGGGCATGGTGACTCCCTGAGAAAAGAGTTCCCAAGTTCCCACTCATCGACTCAGGATCGCCGAAGAAAAAAAACTGGAGATGCCCTCCAGCACGTGTTTATTCGTGCAACAGGAAAGATGTGGGATCTTCTCAAAATATCTCAAACATGTAACATGTGGGATCCCATGGGATCCCCATTTCGCCATGGGTTTCAGGACCAAAAACTCATGGTCATCCATGACTTGGCCTGTCCAAGTTGCATCCCGAAGAGTGGAAGGGCACTGGCTTGGGCGGCCTCAAAAGCTGCCAATTTCTCAACGTTAAACTTGTGGATGTCATTTGGAGTCACAGTATCCGCAAAATTTGGATTTAACCAGCAAAATTAAGACTTACCCAGCAAATTGTTGGATTTAACCAGCAAGATTTGTGATCATTGGGACTCCGCCAACAGAAACTAGAATTTCAGCAGCAAACAAGGAACTTAAACACTATGGGGACTATAGGGGTAGCAAGTATATAAACACCTTTCAATCAGGACTTCGTGAAATTCCTTAACCCAAATTCTAAGTGGCAGAATTGTTTGTGCCCTCCTGAAAGATGCCATCCCCTCATCGTTTGTTGCCGAGATATCCCGTTTGAAAATGAATCAAACCCGTCTTGAGGTGATGTTGCAAAAACTCCCTCATGTCACCCACTGCAATTGGACGGTTTTCCCCTTAGTTTTCAGATAAACCCACATGACGAATGAAAAATATCCCTATCCCATCACATAAAATGCTGGTTGGGTAGTATGTATTAACCATTATGGAATTATGGGTCGTAATATGTCATGATAATCGCCAACCAAGTACTTATCCTCCGGGTAATCAAACATTGCTGGAACATCCCCATCCAGTTCGATGGTTACCATAACAAAACCTCCATTTCATGTGGGAATTTCCCAGCTAGCCCGGCTTTCTACACTGAAAAAACACAATAAATCACCATTAAATCACCATTAAATCCCATGAAGTCCCATGAAATCACCAGTTTTATGGGTAAAATCCACCCCAAGCTCTCGACCGACGCCCGGAATGTGGCCTTCTTGGGATGTGCCAAGGTGGAGTAGCGCTGCAGGGTGGGCCCCAGCGCAGGCACGAAGAGGCCCAAGCCGATGCCCATGGAGCCGTGGAGGATCAAAAGATGCCACACCTGGGGAAGTTGGCCCCAATCCCCCAACAAAAACCATGGGAAAATCATGGGAAACTCATCAAAGGAAGTTTAGTGGGAGAAACTTCCGTGTTACGGACTTTTAGAATGTCAAAGAAAGAGTTAGTCAAAGAAAGAGTTAGTCAAAGAAAGAGTTAGTCAAAGAAACAGTTAGTCAGGGAAAGAGTTAGTCAAAGAAAGAGTTAGTCAAAGAAACAGTTAGTCAGGGAAAGAGTTACTCAAAGAAACAGTTAGTCAGGGAAAGAGTTAGTCAAAGAAAGAGTTAGTCAAAGAAAGAGTTAGTCAAAGAACAGTTAGCCAGGGAAAGAGTTAGTCAAAGAAAGAGTTAGTCAGGGAAAGAGTTAGTCAAAGAAACAGTTAGTCAGGGAAAAAGTTAGTCAAAGAAAGAGTTCGTCAAAGAAAGAGTTAGTCAAAGAAAGAGTTAGTCAGGGAAAGAGTTAGTCAAAGAAACAGTTAGTCAGGGAAAAAGGTAGTCAAAGAAAGAGTTAGTCAGGAAATATGAGGTAGTCAAAGAAAGAGTTAGTCAAGGAAAGAGTTAGTCAAAGAAACAGTTAGTCAGGGAAAAAGGTAGTCAAAGAAAGAGTTAGTCAGGATATATGAGGTAGTCAAAGAAAGAGTTAGTCAGGATATATGAGGTAGTCAAAGAAAGAGTTAGCAAAGAAAGCGTTCGTCAGGGAAAGGGTTAGTCACAGAAAGAGTTAGTTAGGGCATTGATTGTTCCCGCAATGCAAATGGGATTGCAAGTGGTGCTGGTGGATGAGTTGCCGATGGAGTTGTGAAGGAAGTCTCGCACGAAATGCGTTTTTGAGAGATAGCAGATGCACGAAACCCTATGTTTTTCCATACAAAGTGCGTCCCCGAACCTCGATGATCTACCTCTGCGGTGCGACGGGTGCGAGACGGTCTCGTGTGTGGTCGGATCATGGGCGGATCATGGGCGGATCATGGTCGGATCGGTTCCGCATTGTAAATGGGGTTTCAACTGTTTTTCGTGCATGTGCGGTCGACAGAATTCCATTGTGATTTGCAACTGCAGGATCGTTCCCGCAATGTAAATGGGATTGCAAGTGGTGCTGGTGGATGAGTTGCCGATGGAATTCATTGTGATTTGCAACTCTAGGATCGTTCCCGCAATGCAAATGGCATTGCAAGTGGTGCTGGTGGATGAGTTGCCGATGGAGTTTTGAAGGAAGTCTCGCACGAAATGCGTTTTTGAGAGATAGCAGATGCACGAAACCCTATGTTTTTCCATACAAAGTCCGTCCCCGAACCTCGATGATCTACCTCTGCGGTGCGACGGGTGCGAGACGGTCTCGTGTGTGGTCGGATCATGGGCGGATCATGGTCGGATCGGTTCCGCATTGTAAATGGGGTTTCAACTGTTTTTCGTGCACGTGTGGTCGACAGAATTCCATTGTGATTTGCAACTGTAGGATCGTTCCCGCAATGTAAATGGGATTGCAAGTGGTGCTGGTGGATGAGTTGCCGATGGAGTTTTGAAGGAAGTCTCGCACGAAATGCGTTTTTGAGAGATAGCAGGTGCAGGAAACCCTATGTTTTTCCATACAAAGTGCGTCCCCGAACCTCGATGATCTACCTCTGCGGTGCGACGGGTGCGAGACGGTCTCGTGTGTGGTCGGATCATTCTCGGATATTCTCGGATCATGGTCGGATCGGTTCCGCATTGTAAATGGGGTTTCAACTGTTTTTCGTGCATGTGTGGTCGGCAGAATTCCATTGTGATTTGCAACTGTAGGATCGTTCCCGCATTGTAAATGGGATTTCACCTGTGTTTCGTGCATGTGTGGTCGACAGAATTCCATTGTGATTTGCAACTCTAGGATCGTTCCCTCACTGTAAATGGGATTGCAAGTGGTGCTGGTGGAGGAGTTGCCGATGCAGTTGTGAAGGAAGTCTCGCACGAAATGCGTTTTTGAGAGATAGCAGATGCACGAAAGCCTATGTTTTTCCATACAAAGTCCGTCCCCGAACCTCGATGATCTACCTCTGCGGTGCGACGGGTGCGAGACGGTCTCGTGTGTGGTCGGATCATGGTCGGATCATGGTCGGATCATGGTCGGATCATGGTCGGATCGGTCTCGGATCGGTTCCGCATTGTAAATGGGGTTTCAACTGTGTTTCGTCTATGTGCGGTCGACAGAATTCCATTGTGATTTGCAACTGTAGGATCGTTCCCGCAATGTAAATGGGATTGCAAGTGGTGCTGGTGGATGAGTTTCTGATGGAATTCCATTGTGATTTGCAACTCTAGGATCGTTCCCTCACTGTAAATGGGATTGCAAGTGGTGCTGGTGGAGGACTTGCCGATGGAGTTTTGCAGAAAGTCTCGCACTAAATGCGTTTTTGAGAGATAGCAGATGCACGAAACCCTATGTTTTTCCATACAAAGTCCGTCCCCGAACCTCGATGATCTACCTCTGCGGTGCGACGGGTGCGAGACGGTCCCGTGTGTGGTCGGATCATGCTCGGATCATGGTCGGATCATGGTCGGATCGGTCTCGGATCGGTTCCGCATTGTAAATGGGGTTTCAACTGTGTTTCGTCTATGTGCGGTCGACAGAATTCCATTGTGAATTGCAACTGTAGGATCGTTCCCGCAATGTAAATGGGGTTGCAAGTGGCGCTGGTGGATGAGTTGCCGATGGAATTCCATTGTGATTTGCAACTCTAGGATCGTTCCCTCACTGTAAATGGGATTGCAAGTGGTGCTGGTGGATGAGTTGCCGATGGAATTCCATTGTGCTTTGCAAGTCTAGGATCGTTCCCTCCCTGTAAATGGTTGCGTCAAGGTTCCTTCGTGCTGTGGCTGCATTGGTAATACTATTGTCTTTTGCAGCTGGACTTCGTAAATCGTATTGGAGTGGCTGCATGAAGGCTGCCACAGTGATTTGTTGGCAGATTTTCTCCATTTTGGCGCTAGTGATTTTCCTTCTAAAAATCCTTTTAAAAAGTGCTTCAAAATCGTCTTTTTTTCGCTCTGGCGTCGAGATCCGGTTTTGGAGCTGCAATTTCCGACCCAGTTGCGCGTATTTCTATTGTGCTTTGCAACTCAGTCTTTGCAGATCGCATTGTAATGGCTGCGTCAAGGTTGCTTGGTCCCACGGCTGCATGCGTAATACTATTGTCTTTTGCAGCTGGACTTCGTAAATCGTATTGGAGTGGCTGCATGAAGGCTGCGACAGTGATTTGTCAGCAGATTTTCTCCATTTTGGCGCTAGTGATTTTCCTTCTAAAATCCTTTTAAAAAGTGCTTCAAAATCGTCTTTTTTTCGCTCTGGCGTCGAGATCCGGTTTTGGAGCTACAATTTCCGACCCAGTTGCGCGTAGTTCTATTGTGTTTTGCAACTCAGTCTCTGCAGATCGCATTGTAATGGCTGCGTCAAGGTTGCTTCTTGCCACGGCTGCATGCGTAATACTATTGTCTTTTGCAGCTGGACTTCGTAAATCGTATCGGAGTGGCTGCATGAAGGCTGCGACATTGATTTGTCAGCAGATTTTCTCCATTTTGGCGCCAGCGATTTTCTTTTTAAAAATTCTTTTAAAAAGTGTTTCAAAATCGTCTTTTTTTCGCTCTGGCGTCGAGATCCGGTTTTGGAGCTACAATTTCCGACGCCGTTGTGCGTAGTTCTATTGTGTTTAGCAACTCAGTCTCTGCAGATCGCATTGTAATGGCTGCGTCAAGGTTGCTTGGTGCCGCGGCTGCATGCGCAATACTATTGTCTTTTGCAACTGGACTTCGTAAATCGTATTGGAGTAGGTGCATCAACGGTTCGACAGTGATTAGTAGTAGTGCTGGGAATTGATTAATGAAAGCTTAATAGATGACATATGAGAAGGGACGAAATGAGAAGAGATGAGCTGGGATAAGGTGAGAAGAGCTCAGATGAGATGAACTGTGGAGTGTGAAGAGTGTAGTGTGAAATGTGGGGCGTGAAGAGTGCAGTGTGAAGTGTGAAGTGTGAAGTTTGGAGTGTGAAGGAAGCAGTGAGAAGTGAGAAGTGTGAAGTGTGGACTGTGAAGATCTGTGAAGTGTGGAGTGTGAAGTTTGGAGTGCAAAGAGTGCAGTGTGAAGTGTGGAGTGTGAAGAGTGCAGTGTGAAGTGTACAGTGTGAAGGAAGCAGTGGGAAGTGAGAAGTGTGAAGTGTGGAGTGTGAAGTTTAAGTTTGGAGTGGGAAGAGTGAGTGTGAAGTGTGAAGTGTGAGGTTTGGAGTGTGAAGGCAGCAGTGAGAAGTGAGAAGTGTGAAGTGTGGACTGTGAAGTGTGGAGTGTGAAGTGCGAAGTGAGAAGTGAGAAGTTTGGAGTGTGAAGGAAGCAGTGACAAGTGTGAAGTGCGAAGTGAGAAGTGTGAAATGTGAAGTTTGGAGTGTGAAGTTTGGAGTGGGAAGGAAGCAGTGAGAAGTGAGAAGTGTGAAGTGTGGACTGTGAAGTGTGGAGTGTGAAGTGCGAAGTGAGAAGTGTGAAGTTTGGAGTGTGAAGGAAGCAGTGAGAAGTGAGAAGTGTGAAGTGAGAAGTGTGAAGTGTGGACTGTGCAGTGTGGAGTGCGAAGAGCGCAGTGCGAAGTGTGAAGTGTGAGGTTTGGAGTGTGAAGGAAGCAGTGAGAAGTGTGAAGTGTGGACTGTGAAGTGTGAAGTGTGAGTGAAGTGTGGAGTGTGAAGTGCGAAGTGTGAAGTTTGGAGTGTGAAGTGAGAAGTGAGAAGTTTGGAGTGTGGAAGGAAGCAGTGAGAAGTGAGAAGTGTGAAGTGAGAAGTGCGAAGTGTAGGAAGTGTGAAGTGTGAAGTGTGAAGTTTGGAGTGTGAAGGAAGCAGTGAGAAGTGAGATGTGTGAAATGTGGAGTGTGAAGTGTGAAGTTTGGAGTGTGAAGGAAGCAGTGAGAAGTGAGAAGTGTGAAATGTGGAGTGTGAAGTGCGAAGTGAGAAGTGAGAAGTGTGGACTGTGAAGTGTGAAGTGTGAAGTGTGGACTGTGAAGTGTGAAGTGTGAAGTGTGGACTGTGAAGTGTGAAGTGTGCAGTGTGAAGTGTGAAGTTTGGAGTGTGAAGGAAGCAGTGAGAAGTGTGAAATGTGGAGTGTGAAGTGTGAAGTTTGGAGTGTGAAGGAAGCAGTGAGAAGTGAGAAGTGTGAAATGTGGAGTGTGAAGTGTGAAGTGTGAAGTGCGAAGTGAGAAGTGTGGACTGTGAAGTGTGAAGTGTGAAGTGTGGACTGTGAAGTGTGAAGTGTGAAGTGTGGACTGTGAAGTGTGAAGTGTGCAGTGTGAAGTGTGAAGTGTGAGGTTTGGAGTGTGAAGAAGCAGTGAGAAGTGTGGAGTGTGAAGTTTGAAGTTTGGAGTGCGAAGAGTGCAGTGTGCAGTGTGAGGTGTGGAGTGTCGAGGGAAGGACACGGTCGGGACAGGGTGTCTTTGAACTATAGGTCATTTATGTTTGGGAAACTTCCGCCGCCGGCTTGCCCGGGTCTATGTTAGAAAACTCAGTTAATAATGGTTAATGATCGTTTGACAATGGTTAGTACTGGTTTAATATGGTTTAATGATGGTTAGTAATGGTTAATCATGGCTACTAATGGGATTATAGAATATCTACCCTCCGGTAATCAAACGTGGCTGGCTGGAAAATCCCCGAACTAAATGGAGGATTTTCAATGGCCACGTTTGATTGCCGGAGGGTACCCTGATTCGAAGGGCAGTAAAATGGCTAGATGAAGAGGCAAAATGGGCAATTTGTCCCTCTTGTGGGAATGATTTACCTATCAGGTGGAGCAATCCTGTCGGCAGACTTTGCGGCTGAAGTCTAGGGAAACATGGTGACTGCTGTTTTCTTTGCCACATGTGGAGGTTTCAGATTTTCCCTTGAACCAATTCCGGGGATCTACTGTATCTTAAAATAGAAATATATTATAAGAATCTCACAGATATCACTGATATCACTATCAAAAATCATACCTGCAAACTGGGGTATCCTTGTTCCAACCGCACAGAACAAAGCACAGCAGTACAAAAACAACCAAGAAACCAAAACTGCAAGGTGTTTGTAATGAGCCAAGAATACCTCTAAGGGTTCCAGCCAATGGCTGCGATGGCTTTTGCGCTGCAGCTAGAAGTTTGTGTCTTGCGATTCAATTTCAGGTGAATATTGCTTTATTTAGTTGCTGCCGGTCCCACTAGTCACTAGTAAAGACATAGTTTGGGCAAATGTTGGGATATGTTGGGCGGGAAATTTTCCCTACGCCAACCGTAATTGAAAGTCTGAAAGGGGCATATGGTGCCCTCCCATGATTTAACATAGCTATGGAACATAGCCAATTTATAAATGATTTACCCATTGAATATGGTGATTTTCCATGGCTGTGTTAAATAACCACAGGGTAAGATCCATGGCGATCCATGGCTGCCATTGCTGTGACTCCCTCCATCTCCCTCCCGGCACCTCAGTGGCGACAAAGCCATAGAGACACAACATCACTGAGGCAATGAACGCACCCAATCCTTGGCTGCTTGTGTTGAAACAGGTCAATCTGTATATTTAAATAGGTGTAGTGTGTATAATAATGCGATAAACCCAATGTCATAACCATTCCCAAGTTATCACCATGTTTATGAGTTAAATTCCAACCAGCCCCGGTCATGGTAAGTTTTATATACTGTATATATTGGGTTTACGACAACATTACACCATGCACATATAAGATACACATAGATACACCCTGTGTTTTGTGGTGCTTGGGGAAGCCCAAATGGTAGGTTTATTATATATTGAATGGGTTTGCCACATTACACCATATGAAATACAAGATACGCCCTGTATTTTTGATTGTGTTTCGGGACATGAATCCATCGAGGCCTTAAATAACAATCCCTTTCATCCATGGACCATACCGAGGATCGCATCGTTTTCACGTCGCCGATGACGTTGGAGACCTGAAGTGCTGGATTTTAGATTACTTCAGGACAGAAACAAAAAAACTTGGATGGAGGTATTTCATATTATTTGTTAGTTCATGCTATTTCGGCATTGCCATTTTTTTGGGGGGAAAGGCCCTATAATCAAAACCCCTTCCAGATCAATAAATGTTGTCAGGAGCGGGAGCTGCATCACAGTCTTGTCCACTGGCTTGACTTCACTGTGGCATGTTCCAATCCAAAAGAGATCGAACATTTACCATAAATCTTACCATGAAATTTCAAGGAATCAAGGGAGTGTTGCTTGACAAATGTCAGGGTCCGACATACCGGCACATGCGCCATTCTTAGTGATTCCCGTCGGTCGTTGCTGAATATCCTAGCAACAGAAATGGTGGTTGCTTCCCCAGCCACATCTGCCAGGGAGCAATCAAGAATCCCACAGTGGAGAAGACCAAGTTGCTGACTCCGTTCGGAATCATCACCTTGGTGCACAAGGCACACATCCACCGACCCTCAGCACGAGTGACAATGAAGTGACTACGTAGTGTGTCAGATAGAGGATGTGAAACGTGGTGCATGGAGCAAAGTTTCAAGCTAGAAGTGACTTCCACATATAGTCATTCTATTTTCTGAGAATCAAAAGATCATTCCTTGCCACAAGATCCAAAACAATCCAAACCTATGGCACGTGTCCCAATCATTGACCCCAAACCCAAGAAGACACCGACCAGTGACCATCGAGGTTGCGCTGGCCAAGCGTTCCCGCGATCTCTCCACATCATTGGGATCCAGCAGTCCGTAGCTCTCCTGAGCTCCAGGCGAGTCGAGTCATTCCATGGGGCCTTGAAGGGATGTCCATGGATGTCCATGACGAAGCGAAAAAGATGCGCCTTTGTCCAAAAAATCGTACTCCCAAACATTGGCCGTTTTGATGGGGAACCTGAATATCCTGAATGAACATCATGATGTTCTTTGGACAAAGCGATGGGTTCCCTTGTTTGGTCTGACCACCTTTCTTCAGAAACTTTTGCTGCCCAAAGGCATACTCCAATAGCAAAGGCAAGAGCAGCATCAGCGCAGAGACAGTAAGGAAAATGCAGAAATAGCCAAATAGCAGAAACCTGCAGCTGCAAAGGTAAGAGCAACAGTTGTCCATCGTTTTTCTATGGAAAAACCACTGAAACCATAAGAAAACTCATGGAAAAACTGTTGGAAAACTGTGGTCACTGAAAATATCGTTTCACCTGCTTCTCAAATGTTGGAAGATGTTAGGGACCAAATATCCAGCACATGCACAGTATCAGGACTGCCACAGCTAACATGGTTACATGGTGCGAACTGCTGCACAGACACCAGAGAATTTTGTCCTTCGTTGGGGGAGGCCCCTCATAAGCCGTGCTTTCTTGCACCTTCTTCTCACCTCGGGGTGTGACAATTGATGTTCCCACCTGATAGGTTAACTGGCAACAAAGCTGTCTCTGGCTCACATGTTTCCGATCAGATCTCACTACTCGTTGGTTCTCTGTGATGTCACGTTTCCAATTCAATCAATCCACCAAAAAAAAAAGTTGCAATCCAAAAGTTCAACCCCCCCATCATTTTTGTTGAAAGGTTAGTTTTTACTCGTCATTTTCGGTTTGTTCATGCATTGGTTGTTCCAAGAATATGGCGCCCCAAATCCAAGGGATCATATTATCATCCAAAACATTGCCGTTTTGTACGAGTATGTCCCATTTCCCGACAAATTCATATCCCCAAATCGCAATTGTGGTTGATTTTATCCGGATTTTGCCTAGAAGTCTTGATTTGTTTGATGGTTGCAGCACATCCCCACAAACCAGTTATGGTGTTTTTCCATCTGTGTTGCCTACATCCCAATTTTGCCCGGAAATGTTGAAAAGTTACCGTTTGTTTGAGGGTTTCCCATGCAACTTTTTTTCCCCGCATTCATATCCGTTGTCCGAAAATGGGACAAATCATGATAAATCCCCAAATATCATCAAATATCCCCAAATAACCATTTTCACAGGGAAAATGATGATGCACGATCAGATTTTGGAGGTGTTATATTTTCAGACAAACCCAGAAGAAACCCAACCAGCAACCCTCGGAATGACCTTCGGACTCCGCTGCCGACTCGCTCGTTGTTTCGCCTTTCTCACCTCCCTCTGTTGAGGGCACAGGTGAGTGCAAGCGCTTCTTGATCTCCTGGGGTGTGATGAATGTGATGGGATGAAAGATCAAAAAAAAGGTTGGGGGCCGATGATGGATGTGTTTTTCTTTTGCAATAATCAAGCGTCATAATCTTAAGATATGTATACAGGATAGTTACTCATAATCAAAGGTCGTTTAGTTAGCAAACTTCCGAGTTACGGACGATGGTCATGGTTAGCATTCACACCATCATGTCAACCACATTAAAATCATCATATGTCATCAGCCCCATCATCAAGTAGGTGGGAAGTGAAAGAGAACACTAGCGGGCACAAAACCCTCTGTTTTTACGAGTATGGTGGCTGCTGGTGTTGCGAACGTAAGGCCTGTGTTTCCGCAGGGGCGGGCCTCGATCTGGGAAAGTTGTCGACAAAAAGTGCATGAGACTGTAGCAAGAGCTCGATTCGCACGGGGCACTTTTGGAAGATGAGGTCGGAGAAATGCGCACGAGACTGTAGCGAGAGTTCGGTTTCGCCAAAAAAAAAACGTAAAAAAACTAAGGGCCGCAGAGTAGCGCTAGATTTGCGTGGTAAAGTCCACACCGTTGACACTGCGCCAGCGATGGTCGCTGCTCCTGCTATGCAGGCTTGCAACGGGCTGCGAGAAAACGCATTGGCAGGGCTGCGCGCAGGAAAGCGTGAGTGATGCTACTATTCTCCTGCTGTGCGGGATTGCAGCTGCAGGTTGCTAAACGCGTTGCAAGAGCTGCGCGAAAGGTGGTCTTTGAACATAGTGCCACCGCGTTTGCGCTATGCGGGAGCGCTTGCAAGACGCACTGTGCTGGCAGGAGAATTTGGCTGCAGAAGCTACACGAGAGCAGAAACGGGTCAGAGAAGAAGTACTGGTAGCCCATATAAGAAGTTGCTCAGAGAAGATGTATATAGCTGACAAGAGGTACCACAGCGAAGAAGTCACTCAGTGAAGAAGTAGCTCGACAAAGAAGTAGCTCACTTGTCATCTATCCATCCGTCCAGTCATTCATCCATCCATCCATTCATTTGTTCATGCATTGATTCATGGATTCACTTCTTCATTGGTTCATAGATTCATTGGTTCATTGATTCACTGATTCATTGGTTCATTTATTCATTGGTTCATTGGTTCGACGGTTCACTGCTTATTGTGTTCCTGACTCATTGACTCAACTGATTCATTGCTTCATGGATTTTTTGATTCATTGACTCAATGGTTCACTGATTCCGTGATGCATTGGTTCATGACTCATCGGTTCACTCATTCACTCACTTGTTGATTCCCTGATTTGTTGATTCATTGAATATTCATTGCTTCTTTACTTCATTGATTCACTGATTCTTTGATTCATTGATTCATCGGTTCATCGTTTCACCGTTTCATCGATGCATTGATTCATTGATTCATCGAATCATTGGCTCGTTGGTTCATTCAGTCAGTCGTGTGTTGATTTCTTTCATGTCATTTCGTTGGCATCTCATCAACCATTTGCTGAGTCGTTGATGCATTTCACAACTTCAACATTTCATTGCTTCTGCATCTCACAAACTTTCCTTTAGGCCAGTGGTTTCTTATAGTTGTTTTATTTGTTCGAAACTTCCTGCCCCGGCACGACCGGGCACTACCTTGCAACAATCAAAGATGTTTAGGAACATGGGAGTCAGCCATCCAAACACCGTCAATTAGAATTGATCTCAACACAAGGTCTGGGGATTAGACCAATTAGAAATCTGCCAAAGGATGCATACCTTCTGGTACAGTAATCTAACATAGCCATGGAAAATGACCCATTTGAAGGTGATTATTTGCCTATTAAGTATATTATATATAGATATAGATAGATAGAGATATAGATATGGCCGTAGCAATCAACATGAACTGGTTGGTGACGGTTTCAACCCCTGTAAAACAGGAAAGTCATGGGGGTAATCATCCCATTTCTATGGTTAAAAAAATGACAAATAGACCCATGCCCCTAATATTGAACACCTCCCCGGGTTGTTTGTCCCCAGTCACATGGAGGTTTCCTATAATAGGGGTACCCCATGGTACCTCCAAATCATCCATGTCAATCGGATTTTCCATAACAAAAACCATCCAGCTATTGGGGTAAACCCCCATCATGGTGTCCCCTCAACCAGGGTTTCAGCTGTGACAGGCCGTGACAGGCCTCGACATTCATGAAGAAAGCTGCCACAAAGACGAAGATCAAGACCTGATCAAGGCCTATCCAGATCTGATCAGGAGCCAAAAAAAAACAACAACGGGCTGTTGAGGAAATGTGGACATCATGGAGAGATTCAAAAGACCTCATGAAGAAAAAGGAAATGAAATGGAAGTATATAGAAATACATCTTACTGGAAAGTGGAAATGTCACCAGGAAGCACTGTTTTGAATTGATTGGTTGGAAGCCCAATAATTAGAAGGGACGTGCCACTTATCTTTCAACTACATCAATTCACTAACATGCAACGATTTGCTAGATGGAAAAAGATCAAAAGGGGGTAATTGCTAATCAACAAATATATATATATATACTGTGTATATATATACATATAATTAGTTGTTACAATCAAGCCAACATAATCAATCCATAATCAATCACAGCCGACCATCATCAACCATGATCAACCCAGAATCAACCCAGCAATTATTCCCTTGGCTGTCCCCCATCCAGTCTCCATCAGGATCACGACCAAATGATAAAACCCCTCCAGGCGAGGCAAACATGTTGCTTAGTTCTCTCCAGTGGATGGTTCACCAGTTTGGAATCCTGAAAAACCACCCCAATCTGGATAAACTGCAATAATTCCACCAAACTGATAGTTGGAATTCTTATTGGGTCATATCCCAAGTCCAAATTCCACCAATATCCCAAGAAATTGCTGTGATTCCACCAACAATCTTCTTTGACGCCGAGATGACGCCGCAGCCCGCCGAGACGTACCTTGCTGTAGCGAACTGGAACCCTCAAGGTGCGAGCTGGAAAATCAACACTTTTTTGTAGGTCTTGGTACTGTAAATCATCTATAAATCATCTATGAATAAATGAATTACTATAAATACGTATAGCTAATAAATTAATATTATGTGCATCAGCAACGATTTCAGGTCTACTCAGGTGTCCCTCGATGTCCAAGCATAATATGCTGTACGCAATAGTGCATGATTGGGAGATATGGCAGACTCGATCTGTAATTCCCAGCCTGCAATGTATATATAATGTAATCAACAAAATGGAGCTGTCAACCACCAATCACAGGGTTCATGACTGACAAACATCGATATTCATGGATGGATGGGCAACTATATATAATCATCTATAATCATCTATATAATTTCTAGAATCTAACCATCAATTTGCGCAATCCCCCCAAGGAAAAAACACATGGTTTCCCCAAATGTGGTGGATTTGCCATTGGGGCAAAACTAAAAGCACCTTCAGTAGATCCGGGAGATCATGCCCATCCCCTTGATCTGGAAGATACCAATAAGGACCCCAAAAAATGGTGTGGCCCAATACAAAACCATGTTTTCTCTGGAAATATGATGGGTATCAAATATCAGGGAAACTATGGGATGCCACCAGAGTCACCATGGCCAGAAGAGTCCAAATTGACTGATGACTCCAGCGATGGGCGACAGCGCAAACGCTCCCGCTTGATACGACGCGAAAAGGAAAGTCATGCGCACCTTCAACACCGCCATGTTCCTCAAGAAATGGAGATGTCCTACAATTGGGATACCGCCAAATCCATCCAAATCCATGGGACCGCAGGCTGGGCAAAAGTTCGAGAGTTTACCCATTCAAAAAATGACATGAAAATGGACGCTCCCATCAGCCAGTGGTTCAACCGTTCATCATCAATCAACCATTTAATTTGTCAATCAGTTGAATTTCGGATTTAGTATTAACCATCAAAATCAACCTTAAACATCAACCATAAAATGTGAATTAATTAACCATGTTAATTAACCATGTTAATTAACCATGTATCAACCATAAAATATCATAAAATCAACCACGATTTTTCCCCATGTATCTCCAGCGAATGAACAGAGCGAATGGCACCCAGGCTCGGGAGCGAAATCTGAGAGATGTAGGAACGCAGGATGGGTTGCGTTCCTGGCGTTTTTTTCCTCGAATTCATAAGGATTCAATGGGAGTCTCAGGGAGTTTACCATTCAAAATGGTGATTTCATGGTATTTACTGTGGATTTTAAAAAATTTTAGGGTTATTTCCCCACCTGCCAGGTGAGGGTTGTTAGATTTTATCAGAGTTGTTCTTCTCCTCCTTCTTCTTCTCTTCCTCCTCCTCCTCCTTCTCCTCCACCACCTCCACCACCTCCACCACCTCTGCCTTCCGCCTTGCCAACTCTTCGCCAAGCTCTTTGCCAACTTCCGCACGCAGTGGGCACTGCTGGACCTCAACTGCAAGGGTCTGAGCGCACTGGGCACCGCTCCTGCCGAGTTCAGTGAGCACCGCTGGACCTCAACCTGGGACCCGCCAAGCTCAGTGAGCACCGCTGGACCTCAACCTGGGACCCGCCGAGCTCAGTGAGCACCGCTGGACCTCAACCTGGGACCTTCCGAGCTCAGTGAGCACCGCTGGACCTCAACGACCAGATAGAATGCCAGAAGATATGCCAGATAGAACGCCAGATAGCATGTCAGATAGAATGCCAGAAGATATGCCAGATAAAAAGCCAGAAGATATGCCAGATAGAATGCCAGAAGATATGCCAGATAGAATGCCAGAAGGTATGCCAGACAGAATGTCAGATAGAATGCCAGAAGGTATGCCAGATAAAGTGCCAGAATGTTTGCCAGATAGAACGCCAGATAGAATGTCAGAAGATATGCCAGAAAATATGCCAGATAGAGTGCCAGAAGATATGCCAGAACATATGCCAGAAGATATGCCAGATAGAATGCCAGAAAATATGTCAGATAGAATGCCAGAAGATTTGGCAGTAACAAAATGTATAAATGCCATGGTGGGGATCACACGAAGTAAAGTAAATTAGGGGATTTTTATGGGCTTGGGATGTGGACAACCACGGTGTTTGCCCCCCATGAGTTGGTCATTTAGAGCTACCCTCTGGTCAAACATGGCGGCCAGGGAACTCTCCTATAAATCACCCTTAAATGGGGGTCCATTGCCATGTTTGATTAGCAGAGGGTGTGTATCTATGTGACTCATCGAGGTTTACCAAATGATTCTAACTGCTTAAATCATACATCCTACCCCTATTTTTGGATCATAGAAGATCTACTAAATCTTGTCGCCTTTGTCCATGTCGATCTTGGGCGCTTGTCAGCGTTTCTGTTTTCTTGCACTCCAAGGTCGCCCAAATACAACTAAAAGTCTGTAAGGACAGTGCCTCATGTATATACAGTACAATGTTTCTGGTACCCTCAGTTTCTCATGGCGAGCCAAAAAACGATGGCAGATTACAGGTGGCCACAGAGCGAGAGCAAGAGAGAGGGAGAGAGGGAGAGACGGAGAGAGGGAGGGAGGGAGGGAGGGAGAGAGGGAGGGAGATGGATGAGACACCACCTATCCAAGCATCCATAGTGCTTGATCCTTAAAAACAAACGACAAGGCTACTTGTTGCTTCCACATCTGCTTTACAAGCAACCTTTGACCCCCAACACTCTGAAAATGCTACAAACATCAGAAGTTTCCCACCTCTGGCCCGTCTCAAAACCCCACATCACAATCTGACGTCTCCTCCAAAGAAACCTGCCAAAGCCCTGCCGACCAGGAAGAAGTAGACCTTAGCTGCTTCCACGAGCTCTTTCGTGTTGGCGAAGAAGTCAAGCCAGGTTATATACGTAAGTGACCAGTTGGTGCAAGATCTCACATGCACAAGAAAAACAAATAGCTACAATATCAATGACTGGAAGCAGGTCTGAGGGTTGAGAAGAACATAGAAGAACAAGCATCCTTAAATGGATAATGTTGACCTGCACTAGATGCACTAGTAAAGCCCTAAAGCTCTAAGTTCTTGGAATGGGTCCATTGTTTTTCAACAGCATAGCTGATCACCTTTGGGGTACCGGCCTTAATTCTTCCAAAAGGGCAGTAGGACCCAGTAGGATTATGGAACCGTCCACTTTACACATCTCCCAGCACTCCCAGTGTTGGAGACATCTGAGACATCCCAGTGTTGTGTAATTTGATAAACTGATAAACGACCTGAGAATGACTCCCAAAATCATCGACCCCTGAAGTTGGAGTTAGAAACCCTAGTTAACCCATGTTAATCCTATTTGTGGGGCCATTACATAGTATCCCATGTTTGAGTCATCAAAGTGGGAAGATGAAGATAAAGATATCCATGGGATTTCCGCGCTGAAAACATCCAGGAAGCCTGACATTGGGTAGCTGGGCCTATCCCAAATTTCCTTTTTTTGATGATCACTCTTCCATTGATTCAGTGATTGCTTGGAGTATCCACCCGTGGACAAATGTAGCTGGCTGTAAGGGCCATGGTTGAATCTCATCTCTTTCGGCGCCAGTTCACCCCGTTCTTGTTGTTGCATTGCGTGGTGCACTCCACAATGCCTCCATGCTTGAGCAGCAACTGAAAATCCGAAAGATGAAGAAACTGAATGGGTTTAATGCCATACTTGGGGGTGCAGTTCCGGTTGGAAGCGGGTATACAACCCCTGTTTTGAGGGTTATATCCTTACTTACAGTAGAATCCAATACCAATGAAAATGACTCCAACTGCACCCCCAAGTAAAGGTGCTTGATGTCTCTTTGATCTAAACCTGACAGCAGCTGTATTGGTCCCAACGGCCATATCACACTGTCGGGCCGCAACGCGCATGAGCAAAGAGTTTGCCAATCTGAAACAAAGTTTGCTCTTGGAGCTCCATCTCCAATGTGTTGGTTGGTGTCGCTGCAATGTGAAAAAGGAACGAACCATCACACTACGCAGGACCAGAATCATTTTCCACATCGTCGCCCTCCTCCCTCAAACAATCAAACCAATTGGAGGTTTTCGAATAAACATTCCTAAATCTATCAGAAAAACTGATCTTTTGCTACTTTTCAGATGTTTGATCGCCAAATGGATATGGGACACGTTGGAAGTGCAAGGGACCGCAGCCAGACCCAGCCCAGCCTCCTGTTCCGACCGCTTGCGCCATAGAGGAGTCGCTGGGAATGGTGACGGTGCCATTGATCAGCGAGCCTGGAAGGATGCGGCATCTGATGTTTCATTTTATATGTCTGTATGTATAAATACGCATATTTTGTCCCTTATTTGTACATGCGATAGAAAGGGGGTATAGAACGGGTATCATGGATCATTGTGGGGATATCTTATGTGTATATATATATATATGTATATATATATGATATATGTATATTATGTGTATATATATATAATAGAAATATAGAAAATTATAGAAATATAGAAATAAAGATATGCAGGGAATTCATGGGACATGCCACCAGTTTCTGTACTCCGTAAGAAACTCTCATTCTTGACACAAATGGAGATATCTTCCAGGGAATTTGAGAAGGAAATTCCACAGATTGGCCTTTTTCGAAGCTTGACGACTGCGGTTTCATCTTGGCCAGGCCACAGTCATGGCCCTCCCACAGCTGCAGTGTGTCTCCCATGTTCAGCGTGTAGCTCTCTCGTTCGCAGCCACTCAGGTAGTGGCTGTTGCCTCGCGTGGAGACTCAGAAGTACGGATCAAAATTTAGATCATGGGACCAACATCTTCTGGGTTTTACTTCGGCGATCACGTGTTTCATGTCTTGGTGCACGGATTTGACCCATGTTCAGCTGGATTTGGATCGCTTGTGTTCATTTGTAGTCACCCCCCAAAAAGATGCCCAAAAGTTTTCCCAGCATGGTAGTTCCATGATGTTTTCCCCACAAGTTCCAGGTTTCCAACTCTGCTACCTATGACTGCGGGGTGCTATACATAATTGTTAGTCGATCCAACTTTGGACAGATCGTGATTCTGACCCAAGCTCGCACCTTGAATGCCATAGGCAACGACACCACCCAACACCGAGACCAATAGCGTGACCTATGGCCAAGCAGATAGAACTGCAGGGATACCAGGGAACAAAAAGGTGGGAGAATCCACAAATATAAATTGAAAAACAATGAAAAACATGAATCTATGATAATGTATGACCAACTCGGCGATAAAAGTCACACAGAATACATGCTATGAACGGGGTCTATGGGGGACATGGGACTGGACGTGTCCCCATCTCTGGATGTTAGATCGCTTGAAAATTGTTATTATCAATAAAACAGTCATTAGTCGATGGTAGATCCCATGTTTTTAGAATATACATATAATACATATATACATATATATATATCTAAACTTATAATAAGTCCACGTTTATGTATGTATGTATATATATATACTTTCAGGACTGTACATATACAATATATATATAATTAATCAACTATAACTACATATCTATAATCAAATAATAATAGATAATATACATATAAACCGTTGATGTCCCCAATATTCTACGGCCTGGATCTCAAAGTGACTAGTGAACACCCCACAGATTGGTTGTGACTGACCTTAGTGCCTTTGGCGTCGGCCAAACGTGGCATCCACAGAAGGGAGATGATGGCCAAACCGAAGCGGACCTGTGGGTGCCATTTGATGGGGACAAAGAAAACACCAGGCGGGCTAAAGGGATGGATGAATGTTTAATTGCTTTAAGTGGATGTTCATTGACTTGTTTAATGGAGTTCAATGGAAATAAAGCGGAATTGAATGGTTTCCCTCTGGTCTTTTCACCGAGCAACAGAAAACGGGAAACCCATTGAAATCCATCGACAACATCCAAGCAATCAGACGAGGCATGGAGGGATCCCAGGCAGAGTTCCCAATGTAGAGTTCACTGTGAAAGCTGCATCGCAAGAAGCTAACAGCAACTTTCTCAGGCCACCCAACAGTGCCTTAAAATCAAAAGAATTGGATGGTCTCAAAACTCGAGTTGTCCATGTTTAAACTGCTCCGAGGAACCGTAGAGAAGCTGGCAATCTCTCCGGTGGTGGCCCCCAGCTGCTGTCCATATGGCACCAGCACTGGGGCTGTGAAGAGCGTTCCCATGACGTCCACCATATTCACCTTAACCATGGATAAGTTTCGCTGCGAAAATCTAAGGAAACATGAGTTGTTTCACCAATCATGTTAAACAACTGTTAACCTTCATCATTGGATTGTATTGGTTTCCGGTTTCAGGTATCCCTTAAACCAGACCACCTTTTGATCCAATGATGATGGCGAAATAAGTCTTAAACCGGAAACCGACGGGTGTTTTCACCACCAAATATGTTTTGGTTTCCGGTTTCAACATGTTTCAACTCTCCCTCGAATCCAACAATGGCGAACAGGCTAAAGTTCATGTGTGTCATGATCAAGTTAAATGGGATGAACGGGGGTATGGTCATCCATCCCATCATGGTAAGCCAACAATAATGGCTACGGAAACCCCTGTTGGGACATACGGGAAAAACCTGGAGATGTTTTGTTTGGGATGACTAAACAAAAAGCTGGATATGATCCATCTGAGATCTTGGGGTATATAGATTGATGTTGACCATGTATATGTATATTGGTGTATATGGATATATGAGTATACAAATAGATGACAGTGGCGATGGAATCAACCAAATGGCAATATACATGGAAATCGGATGGGTTAAAGAAAGCATGTTTATGCCTGCGGACTCGTTACCGTCCCACAAATCCACACATCCGCATCCGATAGTCTGGGGTGGGGTGGGGTGGGGTGGGGTGGGATGATAACGTCATTGGCATTTCCACATGATCTGGATTCTACGCTCTATGATCTTCATTGGCATTTCCACATGATCTTAATGATACGCTCTATGATCTTCATTGGCAATTCCACATGATCTTAATGCTACGCTCTATGATCTTCAATTGCCATTGCACACATCCGCATCCGATAGTCTGGGGAGGGGTGGGGTGGGGTGGGATGATAACGTCATTGGCATTTCCACATGATCTTGATGCTACGCTCTATGATCTTCATTGGCATTTCCACATGATCTTGATGCTACGCTCTATGATCTTCATTGGCAAGTCCACATGATCTTAATGCTACGCTCTTTGATCTTCTTTGGCATTTCCACATGATCTTGATGCTACGCTCTATGATCTTCATTGGCATTTCCACATGATCTCGATGCTACGCTCTATGATCTTCATTGGCAATTCCACATGATCTTAATGATACGCTCTATGATAGCCAGGGCAACTTTTGTCGCACCAGAACCCTGAAGAACAGGGGGAAAGTCAAGATCCACACGGGTCACGTAGATGGATTCTGGAAGGTCCTCAAAGAAGCCATCCCTGGAAGTTTACCCTCGAAAAAGGGCCAAGCACGCAATCCTCAAATATGGAAATGCATGCGTTCTTTCCAGTGGCGGTGGGAGTGCACAGGTAAAAACCTGATGGAAACCACCGCTGACACGTTGAAGAAAATTTGAGAAAAAGTTGCGGTTGCCCTTTTTCAGGCTGAAGTCATGGAAGGGTTGTTATTCACAAAGTAGATGGACCTTTTTTTTGGAGAGGTTTTCAATGAAAGAAAACGCTCCTCGGGATGTTTATCATCAATTGATCCGTACTTACTGTTGAGTTTCTTAATTTGATATACATGGAGGTACAACCCCTGAAAAAAAGAGGAAAAACGCATAATTGGGGATGCTTGCCTCTGCTCAAACCGACTGGCTCAACAAACCACAGACTGTCCGTTGCTGAGTGATTGCGACATCTTCAGGCCAAAATATTGGGCAAGTGGGGTTGTCCTGCAAAGCCTCCATTCATAGAATCATTTTCCCAGCTCGAAACCTCCATTTAGTTCGCTGATTTCCCAGTGACATGTGGTGAGGCCGAAAGCCAATGGTTGGCACCAGAGGGTCACTGAGTTTCCTACCGACACCGGGTTTGTAATCGTATCCTTCACCTATGGACTGATGACCTAAAAAATAAGCCAACTATTCAACGATGAAAATCCTATCCACCAAGATTTACCCTGTCATTGTGCCAGTCACCATGAGGCATGCTGCGAAGCAAATCTGCGTCCAGTCCAGTCCCATGGCGGAAGACACCCCGCAGGGGATGGGCACGTGGGTGGTGTGCGGCCAATGAGCTCCAACGGAAAGTCATGTCTCTGGTTGCTGATGGCTTCTGTTTTCTGAGAAACGCAGCATTTCAGGGGATTTGTTTCAGGACATTTCCTGGCGGTTTAATAGTTTTTTAATGCGTAATTTGGGGATATGAAATCTACAATGCTGTTGGCACGGGCCAATGGACTCAGCAACAGTTTGTAACTAAGGCAGTGAAGCCAACAGCAATGCATAAATCACGCATGGCATCAAGCTTCCTCCTGTGGAGAATCTGAGAAAACACCGAGTTCACCTGACACAGATAGTGGAGTTTTTTCCAAGTTGAATTACAAAGAAAACAACTAAAAAACTATGATTGTTGAAAACAGATCTTGGCAAATTTTGGCAGATGTGAATTCCAATATATATATATATATTCCAATATATTCCAATATATTCCAATGTATTCCAATAGTCCCAAGAAATGTCCAGATACCAGCCCATCAGCACCTTGGCAGCCTTCAGGGGAACCGGCTTTCCTTCGAAGTACGGCAGTCCCAAACCCCACTCCTCAGCAGGCGCTTGATCTAAAGGGCCATGACATCCATGACATCATGTGGAGATGGGTTGAGAATGGACTAGTGACTGGATTTGAAGACCTACTTTTCCAAGTTTGGATGTGAATAATGTGAATAGCTGTCCCACTTCTCAAGTCTGGATCCCAATTTCTAGATGGGTCCCCTGTTCCCCTCCAGGCCTCTGAGTAGATGTTGTCCTCTGGATCCACACCGAACTTGGTTCGATTCAGCATCTTCTTAAACTCAGACTGGCCATACTTCTCCTTGATTCGCCGATGCCTGGCGTGATGGTAGCTGGGAGCCAACTGGGGATAGAAACCATTTCATATAATTACATATAATTACATATAATTACATATCATTACATATAATCACATATAATCACATATAATCACATATAATCACATATAATCACATATAATCACATATAATCACATATAATTACGTATAATTACATATAATTACATATCATTACATATCATTACATATAATTACATATAATCACATATAATCACATATAATCACATATAATCACATATAATCACATATAATCACATATAATGACGTATAATTGCATATAATTACATATAATTACATATAATTACATATCATTACATATAATTACATATAATTACATATCATTACATATCATTACATATAATCACATATAATCACATATAATCACATATAATCACATATAATCACATATAATCACATATAATCACATATAATTACGTATAATTACGTATAATTACATATAATTACATATAATTGCATATAATTACATATAATTACATATAATTACATATCATTACATATAATTACATATAATTACATATCATTACATATCATTACATATAATTACATATAATCACATATAATCACATATAATCACATATAATCACATATAATCACATATAATCACATATAATTACGTATAATTACATATAATTACATATAATTGCATATAATTACATATAATTACATATAAATACATATAAATACATATAAATACATATAATTGCATATACATAATTATTTATATATATATATATATCCCATGCTTACATCATCTTACATCACCCAACCACCCCTAGGTGATTATTTGAAGAAAAAGCTCCAAAAAGGAATACATTTACTTGGCCATGGTCCATTGTCCAAATCTCGCAGAAATTCAGCCAATTCACCAGAATTAGCGAGACTGCGTCCGAAGCTGACACCAGCCTCAACAGAAACTCGCCAGCGGACCCTTTTCACCAGGAATGGTACAACTCTCTAGCAGCGGGGAATGCTACCGCTCAGAGCAGCAATTCCAGTGGAAAATGGCTCCGGACTCCCACCGAAGGGCGTCCAAAGGGGACCCGCGGCATGCCACGTCATGGGGACTTCACGATTTTTGAGGGGGAATATGATGGAAATTCCACACACTTTGTACAGGGGTGACAGTAACAGGATGACTGCTCTTAAACCAACTCCTCCAACACTAGATCCCAGGTGTGAGATTCCTCCGGATCTCCACCCGAGCTGGTTGGACCGGTCCCCATGGACTGTGCAACATTGCCCCGTGATCGCATCGCGGGCGATGGCTCGCACCAGAGGCTTTTTTCATGATGAAACCCCGAAAATCGCAACAGTTGTCATTTGGAAAATGATAAACCATCGGACCATCGGGAGTTTGGGCTACAAATCGGGAGTTTGGAGGACAAATGTTCGAAACATGCCGCACAGTCATATCCAGGTTTTGTTCTGGTGGGCAAAAGGATCTTGGTTCAAAATTGATCTCTCGTTTCGTGTATTTCTTGCAAGGATCAAGCTGATCTCTGATAGAGCGGTCAAAATTTTAAGCATCAAGCTTTGCTATGCTTTGCTACTAAAGCCTGTGGCTTATTCACCACAGGCTCACTGCTAACTCAGACAACCAGCTCCTGACCTGCCATCGAAGTCTGGGGGCAGACGCTGGTGAGGAATGGTGCTGTGCTTATGGTGTCCAGCAGTTAAGGCTTGAAAAGCCTGATCATTCATAGATTCTTCGTCTGCCTGTTGGTCTGTCTGACTGCAACCCTTGCCTCATGTTTGGGCCCAGAATACTAACGTGCGGATCTAAATCTTAAAAACCAGTGATCCACTAATTTTGCTTCGATGAGTGCTTGCACTGCATCATTGAATAATGGGATGTTTGAGGGAAGCCCAGCAGAGTACTTCTCGGAATCGTTTGAAGGGAAAATTCAGAAATTCACAAGCAAAATTCCACTCTATTTGAATGGTAAGAATCATCGTTGATCATACACACGACAACACAAATATGACAACACAATCCTTCCATGTAAAGTTTTCTTGAAATCAGCCAGGTTTCCTCCAAATTGGCGCCTTGGCTCGGGTGACGTGTGCCCTGCATGTGGCGCAGAAAGGGATCTCCACCACAACTGGGTGCCTTGGGACCAATCGTCGATGCCTCATGGTCCTGCGATGAACGCTGAGAACAGACTTGGGTATAGTGGGATATGATTACCATCTGCCAAAGTACATTGCTATAGTGGTATACCATCTATCAGACTCGGAGTATGGCTTGTCGTTCTACATAATATATATATATAATCACTAAAGCTGATATAATATGTATATATATATATACGCAGTACAGAAACGGAGAGTCGAAAACCGACAATGATCTATCTTGTTTGAACTAGCAGAAACAGGGATGTCACAAACATACTGTAAACAGCTAGCAGAAACGCGAAGGCGGCGAACAAATACTGTATGCAAATGCAAAATATCTCGAAGGGGAACCATTGTTCAATGCTGTAGCCCATTTGCCCAATCGACTTGGATCTGATCCTCAGAAATCCTCTCTGGGTATCACATTGTTCAATGCTGTGTCCCCAATTTCAGTAAGTAGTGTCATCCTGATCATCATCCTTAGCATATCTATATATACATAATATATCAACTAAGTCTTCAAGTCAACCAAGATCATCATCGTTAGATGTATAGACAACATATCGACATATGTCAACCAAGCGCTGGTTTTCAACCACTGGGTTCACATCGTCGTCGCCGTCGTGCCTTGAACATGATGTAATGGTAGACGTCCTCTGGAAGCCAGGAAGGTTTCGCCAGGCCCTCCATCTCGTGCACCGCATTCCTGATTCTGCAGTACACTATCCTACACTGAAAAACGAGATGATGAACAAAGAAACCCCCCAAAGGAGGGGGAAAAAAAGATGGAAAAGTGAGACAAATCACGTATCTTGACTTATCTTAGTAGGATGTCTTACTTTCTCTATCTGTTTGGGATATATATACTATAATGTGATAATCAACGCAATGTACCCTCTGGTAGTTTAACAATGCTATGCAAAATGGTCCGTGAAAATGGATGATTGACATGTTCACGTATGTAAAATGGTGATTTTCCGGACTGGTAAATCACCAAAGGGTATGTCATATCATTGTCAGTTATATCACATAAAATCCCATGAAATATTCCATGATATATCCCAATTCAATTGTCACCCGACATCAATATCCAATTAATTATATAGTACCATGACATATTCCATTATATATTCCATGATACCCCACTATATTCCATCTATTATATATATATATATATATATATCCCATTAGATTCCATTACATATCCATTAAATCCATTATATGTATGTATATTACATATACATATATACATATATAATATATACATATATAATATATACATATATAATATATACATATATAATATATACATGTCATTATATGGCATGACATAGTCCTTGATATATTCCATTGTATCCATTCCATGATTTTTCCATAGCTTCAATCTCCAACATCCCCAGCGTTCAAGCCAGGCATCTCCGCCAAGACCAAGGAGCTCTCAGCCCAGCAGCTTGGCCACCCGAAGGCCTCCCGTTGGATCCACGCAAAAAAAAACCTGGTTATTCCCCATTCAGTGGTTTATCCCGTTATCCCTTTTATAAATGGGATATGAAGATATGAAAAAAAAAAAACGAGTTACTAACCACTGGGATGACCCTCCAAGTTGGGGCTTAGTACCCATGGACTAAATGGGGCTTAGTAGAACCGTTTCTGGTATAACCCATAGTATAACCAATGTGTGAATATAATCACAGGAAAAAATGAAAAAAAGGAGGTGAGGGTAGTATAACATAGAAAAAACACCAGAAAACATGCAGCCACTGCCCAGTTGGGCGGAATCCAAAATCTTCGGCGGTTTACACATTGTTCTTTGCGGTTGAATACTATTCACACCGAGGAGGATGATGTGGGTCATGCTGCTGTGCTTCTTGCTATCACCATCAATATTAAAAACAAGGGCAAAAACAAGGAGGGCGAAGAGGAGCATTGCAACTCTCACTA